AAAAGGCAGGGAAGTAGCACCGTCCTGGTATCCTGCTCAGATCTGACCGCTGCTGGAAACCATCTCCACGCGGGAGGGACCACGTCTGATCATCCGAGACATGTATTTTCTGAGCAGCACTTGTGACTGCTGACCTCATTTGCCAAAAATTCAATACATTCATGTCAGATACATACTGCAGTCCCTCCTTAAAGGCAGCAGATGTATTTCCATGACAAAGTGCAGTCACGAGACAGAAAATGGCAAGGTACAGGCTCTCCAAGAAGTTCAACAAAACAAATCTTCAACCCGAGCCCTCCAGAACACAGAGAGGGAATCTGCCAGGTTTTTGCAGACAGATTTCTGTTTCCACCACCGGGCTAATTTACTTGTGCTATACCTTGCGAAAAATACTGCAGGCAGTCACTAGTATTGAGATTCCACACTGTACAGACCTGCTCCAAACAGGTTTGGGCAACAGCTTGAAGTGTTCATCCCTGCCAGCATCTTGAGCCTACATCTGGTTCTCACAGGAGACCATCTCCAGCAGAAGTGAGCAGATGGAAAGCTACAGAGCAAGAAGTGCAGCAGGTTAGACCAACAAAACTGCTGCCCAATCCTGTCCATGCTGAAAAGCTGAGGGGTGTTTGCAGTAGTTTTTCAACAGACACTCAAGTGGGCATTTGCAAGCCACATTCAAGTTTTAAGCTGCTCAAAATGTTAGAAAACTGACCGTGCTAAAGCGGACATAAACTGGAAAACTCCATCTTCAAAGACAATTTTGCAGAGAAGCAGGGAGGCGTTAGGTTCCAGCTGTTTGGATCCCCCTAACCTTGTTCTTGTAAGCCCTATCAATACAAAGCTACAGCTCACCTCCCAGCAGTCAGCAAACAGCCAGCCGACAAGCAAAAAGTATTAACACCATCACCAATCTGATGCCTCTTGGCTCTCAAGCCCTGTTACTTACAGCATTTGGGTTGCCTGGCTTACAAGTCACCTTTCCTGCAGGATCCTCGAGAGGTACCAAGGTCCTGGAGAGGGCAAACAAACTGACGAGGGATGCACTTGAGGAGTGACAAGACCTAAGGAAGGAGCAGAGTCTGGACAACCTCTCTATGCACAGGACCTTCACTGACAGAGTCCAAGCTCCATCAGGTTGAGAGTGTGAAGCCTGGGGACTGACAACCACCCCTCAGCACCCCACTGGCTCGGCGGCTGGTAGTCCTTCCCCATCGCTCGCTCCAACACGCCAGTCACACGTTCTACAGAAACTCAGATTTCTGTCATGCCGACAACCCTACGTACGTTATTTTGACAGGTAACCAAACAAAGATTGGTTCTCGTTAGCTCATCCAAGCCAGATTTTATCCGCTGAGGTCCAACAGCTCCACATCCTGCAGCAAAGCCTTCCCTTCCTCCCGGGGCTGCCGTGCTCCCCTGGGACTGCTGCCAGGCTGAGATTTCTTTATTTCTTCTGTGATAGCAGAGGATGAAGACAAGCGCTGAACAGAGGTCACCAGCCGCGCTCTGCATCCTCTCTCCCATCCCCTGTTTAGAACACGGGTCAGCAGGTCTCCTTCCACCCCTGCACACGTATCCTGTCCTCACCGGCAGAGCTCAGCCAGCCTCTTCCAGCGACCGCCCAGCGCTCCGCTGGAGCCCAAACATATCCGTTCAGGGCAGCGAACGTTCGCCTGGTTTTCCAACTGAAGCCACACCTCTCGCTGTACCTGAACCACACTGCGAGGTCTCTTCAAATAGTCATGGAGCTGAAGGGCCTTGCCGTGGCTGCAGGAGGACAAGAGCTCAAACTCCCTGCCCATACGGGCAGCCCACTCCCCGCTATGAGCGCCACCGGGGCTCTGCCCTCCTCCTGCACGTCTCGGCCATGGCCCATCTCACACAACCCCATGTTCACCACCACAGCCCTCAGGGAATGCCTGTCCCACCATGGCAACTCAAGAAGACTACACAGAAGAGCTGGGAAAACTTTATTTTTCCCCCTAACACAGCCATAGCATTTCTCTCTACCCTTCACCAGCTCCGTATCAAGCTGGGGATGACAGCTCCAGCCCCAAAACAAACAGCTGCTTCGCATACTTGAAGTGTCTGGAAGGAGCAATAAAGCTGTTTTCCAAAAGACCTTGAACACCAGCAGCAAGAAGGCAGCGTCCTTCAGGCCACAGCCAAGCCAGGAGCAGGACTTGGCCCTGCAGCAGCCGCCGTGCCCCCGAGAGCCGGGGCTGGAGCTGCTGGCACGCAGCCCCCAGCAGCGCTCAGCCCACTCGGCCCAGCCCCAGCACACCAGAGCACCCCCAGGGACATGGACAGAGCCAGCCCCATATCACTGGCACCTTGGTGGCCACATGAAGGGCTCGGATGGCTGACCGGGAGGCCGAATTTCAGCATTTTAAGAAAAACATAATTTATGTTTCCCTGAAGGATCAGCGTCCCTGCTGACACACCACCAGCCCCAAGGCCTGCCCACCCCCAGGCCGCGGCACTACCAGGCCGCTGTTTGTTTTGCCCCCATTCCTCCCACACCCCAGCAAGTGGATGAAGATTTTCAAGTAACCGAAGTCCCACTGAACACTGCTTTGCTGGCACACACAGACCTGCCAGCAAACCCCCAGCTGGATTCAGACGTGAAGCTGCTGAGGCAGCGGGCGGCTGTGCCCAGGGAGAGCAGCCCTGGAAGGCCTCGGGCACCGCGTGCCAAAGCCAGCAGCAGGAGCGATGTTGATTTTACCAAACCACAGCTTCCAGCTCGCAAAAGGCTTTGCTTCTGCCCAATCCAGGCCAAAACCAAGTTTCTGCAAACCCCAGCCTATCTTTAAACAGAGTCCTCGGTTTTGGCTGGTTGCCTTGACGACACAGCAATCTCTTGGGAAGAAACCAAGGAATGTGGTCTAGTTCGAGCTGCTTCCTTTTCAGGCATCAACATGCAGCCTGATTATCCAGAGTAAAAGCCACAAACATCCTCTAGGTTACGAGTAAACAGAAATCTTTCCATTTGCTACTGCATCTTCTAAGTCCTGCCTACAAAGTCAAACAACATCCCACGCTTGCCACCTCTAGCGAGGGGAAATGAACAGAGAGAAAACCCCGGTGCTTCTCCCACTGCATCGCCACGTTTTACCCAGAAACTTAAGTCTCTTTGCTTCTCCTTAGGCTGGACCTTTTTTACTGAAGGGCTTACCCATTTATGTCAGCCTCAAACTCTGCAGCATAACAGGCAGTTCACTCCTTGCCTTTAATCTCTCTTTCACCAGGAGGCAGCTCTTTCCACGAGCTCTCCCGCAGGACAGCCCCTGCACACAAGTCAGTGCTCACCACACTCCATTTTCAAAATGCCTGCAGAGGGGCACAGTTCATGCCATTACGCCTATAACAGAGGCAGAGAAGCTCCGTGACCCTACTGACACCCCACAAATCCAGCACTCAGCAGACAAAACAGCTGTCAGTATTCTTACAAGATGTTAATTTTCTTACAAGCAAGGCTATTTGCTGCTCCAGCAGCAGCGTCCAGCACAAAGCAATCAGCTCCTCTGGCAGCATCATGAGTTGGGCACATCTCAGAGTTCGCCCTGCAGGGTTTCCTCTGTATTTTCTGCTCCATCCTCAAAGTACCCATAACTGTAACGCATCTTGATATTTTCACAGTTTATACCATGCATGTCACACAGGATTTGGTGTAAATCCTATTAATGCCCCAAACTGAACAGAGCAGAGCCAAGGAAACAGCTGGAAGCAGTGGCAGCGTGGAGGTGTTTAGGAAGCAGAACAACTCCAGCCTGATTACGAACTTGCCTGCAGGAGACAATGAAAAACTGCAGAAGCACTTAGCAAAAATCCACACCTGTGCAGATTTGCCTATTCTGATGCAAGGCTCTCGTGCTTCAGATTTGCCACCTGCCTTAGTCATGATCAGATTAATATACACAGTGTGCTCCTACGAAGGAACTTAATAACATTAAGCCAAGAGAAATAGCACTTGCTGCCTCATTTCCAAATGAGATGCATCCTATTCAAAGGATTTCCTTGAATTATAATGCTCAGTGCCTCAGGCACCCATGTGGATTCAGTCCATCAAATATTTAGTTGAATTTAGGTAACGGAATGTCAAACAGCACTTCCCGCTATGGAAAAACATGTCACGCCGCAAGCCTAGAAATCGGGATTTGTAGTGACACGATGCCTATGCTGCCTGTCAGCACGGTGTGCTGCTTTCTGAGCAGAACGATTCACGCCTACTTCTTCAGTTCAGCAAAATAACCCGCTCTTTCAACATGCCTGTGTCTTGATCGCATCCAGACACATTTCATCATGCCACACAAAGTTTAATTCCCAATTTAAGGCTCCCAAGAATCTAAACTAGATCCCAAGCACTGAGAAAACCCGGCATTTGCTCCAAAGAAACTTGGAGCACTTTAAGTCTCCTGGCTCTTCAGAGAAGAGCAGCAACCACACATGAGCAGACAGGTGGTATAATCACATCAAGAGGAGTTAAGTTGTTGCTGATCTCTTTCTGCCTAATAGAGACCTAATTCTTGAGCCTCTATCAATAGATCACTAATCTGGGGAAGACGCCAACATCATGCTGCCCATTGCACTCTGTAACAAGGCAGTGATCAGAGGGACTTCAACGCATGAGCAAAAACAGAGTGATGGACAGTCTGCAGCTATTCAAACCATGCAGCTCCTCTCAGTTTGCTAAATACCAGAAATATCTCCCTTTCCGTTATCATACCTCCAAGAAGCACTGGTAGGCAGCCCTGTGGTTATCATAGGTGACATCCCACTCCGACCTACTCAGTGGGACAGCGCCAACCCCGCTCCCCACAGGCACGCCTTTGGCTCTCAAAAGGAGCAGAGCACAAAGCTTGCTGCTCATCTCCCCACCCAGCAGCTCACAGGACTGATTAAGCTACAAACAAAGCACTTGCCAAAAGCCAAGCCAAAAGCAGTAGGAAGCTACTTTTGGCCTCCCTGTTCAGAGCAGAGGCACCCAAGGCAGTTACCTTCTTGCGGCGGGAGCCTGTCTTGCTCATGCAGGACCTCTCCAGGGACAGGTACCCACCGATCACTTCGATCTCGTTGACGGTGGGGTAGCGCTTTTTATGGGACAACCCCACCTGGGGCCCATCGACATTCTCCACAGCTTTGCCTTTTCCTTTGCTTTCTTCTTCTTCCTCCTCTTCTTCCCGCTGAAGCCTTCCACCAGCATCAGTAAGAGTCTGCGGCCCCGAGGCAACGGGCTTCCTTTTGGGCACGACAGTGAAGGTGTTGCCTCCCCTCTGATGGAGACCAGGGGAGGCAGAGTGAGGTCTGTAGAGGGGCACAGAGGAAAACTCCATCTCCAGGTCAGGGCCAGCTCCTCCAGCCTGATCTGCCAAGTTCCCAGTCCTCGTGGCCAAGTTGACCCTGGGGGAGAGCTCCCCGCTGTCTGGCTCCACAATGTCATCGATGTAAGTCACAGGTACCAACGGATCCAGAGGCGCCGGCAGGGAAGCGACAGGCTCTTCCTGCTCCGGAGCGGAAACCCTCGGGGGCTCTTTCTGTACCTTCTGCTGCGGGGATGGCGGCGGCCTCGCTCCCGTGCTCTGTGCCACGGGCAGAGCCTGGCCGCCCTCCCGTCGGGGCACGAAGACGAAGGAGTTGCGCGAATTCAGGCGCAGCTTGGCCAGGGCCTGCGCTTGCAGGTCGTGGGCAGGGATGGCAGCCAAGTCGGGCTTGGGGGCCGGGAGGATCTCAAAGGAGCCCCCAGCTCGGGGGGCAGACGCAGAGAGCGGCTGGGTGGCACTGGGGGCCAGACTGGCACTGGGTGGGGGCGACACAGCCGCTTCGGCCTCCTCCGGCTTTGGCCTCCTGGCGTTGGCAGCGCTGGTGGATGGCACTGTTGGCCCCTTGGGCGGCATGCTCCGGCCGGTGGGCTCAGGAACACGGTCAACAGGCTTGGGGACACGGCCGGGGGGCTCAGGAACATGATCGATAGGCTTGGGGACACGGCCGGGGGGCTCAGGAACATGATCGATAGGCTTGGGGACACGGCCGGGGGGCTCAGGAACATGATCAATAGGCTTGGGGACACGGCCGGGGGGCTCGGGGACACGGTCGATGGGCTTGGGGATACGGCCGGGGGGCTCAGGGACATGGCCAGCTGGCTCGGGGACACGGCCGGTGGGGGGCTGACCCCGTGGGGTCACAGTGAAGGAGTTGGAGCCAATCTTGTGGAGGAAGCAGTTGGCCTGGGGAGCCGCGGCCTTGGGGACACCCAGCGGTGCCTGGGGGGCGAGTGGGACCGCCTGGGGGGCCGCAGCCCTGGGGGACACCGGGGCCGCCTGGGGAGCCGGGGGCTGGGGGGCGGCTGCCCGGGGGGACGCCGGGGGCAGGGGGGGCGCCGGCAGCGGCTGGGGGGTGGCGGCCCGGGGGGAGATCGGCAAGGGCAGGGGGGAGCCCGGTGCCGCCGGCGGGGGTCCCGGTCCCGTCTTCGGCGCCGAGGCTCGGGGGGAGCCCGGTCCCTTCGGGGGAGCCGCGGCCCGGGGGGAGCCCGGTCCCGGCGGGGGGGAACCCGGCGCGGCCCGGGGGGGGGCGGCGGCGGCGGCGGGCCCGGGCAGCGCCTCCCCGCCCCGGCGGCGGCGGCCCCGCGGTCGCTGCCCGAACTTCTCCAGGAGGCGGCTGACGGTGCCCGGCTCGGCCGCCTCGGGCGTCTCGGCCGCCTCGTAGATGAAGACCTGCTCGGCGCGGATCTCGGCGAGCGCGGCGCCCTGGCGGGCCAGCAGCTCCCGCAGCGGGTCCGGGCGGCGCCCTGGCGGGGAGGAGGACGAGGAGGAGGAGGAGGCGGCGGCGGCCGGCTCCCGGCGGCGTCCCGGCAGCGAGTCCCCGTCGGCGAAGCAGGAGGCGGCGGCGGCGTCGGGCTGCGACTCGATGATGAGGATGTTGTCGGCGCGGATGGTGCGGATGCCCGGCACGGCGCTGTACAGCTCCAGCAGCTGCTGCAGCGGCCGCGCCGCCTCGGGGCCGTGCCCGGGCAGCCCCTGCCGCAGCCGCCGCCGCTCGCTCTCCAGCCGCATGAAGGGGTTCTCCCGGAGCGGGCCCAGGCTCTCGGCCACCACCAGCCGCTCGCCCATCGCCGCCGCCGCCACCGAGCCCCGCGCCGCCTGCCCGGCCGGGGGCTCCGCCTCGCCGCCGGCCGCCCCGGCCAGCTTGGCCCGCTTGCGCTCCAGGATCTCCCGCTTCCAGGCGGGCTGAGCCCGCGGCCCGGCCCCGAGCGGCGGCGGCGGCTCGGCGCTGCTCATGGCGGCGGCACAGGGGGCACTGCCGCGCCGCGGCCGCCGCCTCCGCCCGCCGCACCTGGGCAGGCCCCGCCGCCGGCCGCGGAGCCGCCCCCGGGGCCGCCCTCGGCGGGGCGGAGCGGGGCGGGCGGCCCCGAGGGCGGGGAGGGCGCCATGGCCGCCGGAGGGCACGGCCGCGCCCTGAGGCAGCCCCGGGCGTGAGGGCCGGGGTCGCGCAAAACGCGGAGAGGGGGCCGCGGGAGCTGTGGTGTGGCCGTGGCATCACGGAGATGGAGAGCCCGAGAGTCGGGGCTGCGACCCCCAAGCCATCCAAAAACACTGTGGTCCCACCAAGTTGGCCCCAAAGTTTGTTTTCAGCAAGGGCGGCGTGCCCTGCGCAGAGGGGAAGGGGCTCAGCACCCAGCTGAGGTCTCTGCCCACCAAAGCCTCGCACCCGCTCACAGCGGGACAGCCCGCGGGGCTGCAGGGGTGCCAGCACGGTGTTCCCCTCAGCATGTGCCATAGCTGTCTGTCCTCAGGCACTGGTGGTCTGCCAGGAGCTACAGTGACTAACCCTACCAAAAAGAAAGAAATTAAAATCTGTCATTTTTTACCCCTAGTTTAGCAGCCTGGACTGGATCAGTAAGTGTCAGAACAAGGGGAAGGGAATGAGAGACACTGGTCAGGATCACCTCACTGTCAGCTCAGCCGTGGTCTGACAAAGTGCAGATGTCTGGATGTGAGTGGGCAGTAAGAGAAAGGAACAAGCAACAGGCAGCAGAGCAGCGTCATACCAGGCCCGTGGTGGGCAGCACATCAGAGAAGTGCTTTAAGGGAAGCTCTGGAGGAGACAGCGGGGTGTCCGCACTGCGGGGCAGCAGGCACGGCTGGGGGAGCGCGATGGGCAGCGGGACCGCAGGCAGGAGGAGGGCGAGCCTGCAGAGCACTGCGGGAGGTCGGCTCCATGCAAACAGGATCACAGGAAAACATTTTTCATACTGCTTTCGCTGTTCTGTGATGGCTGCTCATTGCACACATACGCGCAGAGAGAAGTATCGCCACCACGTTGTTTCCAGGCAGTGCCTGTTATCAACTGCCACCACGTTTCTTTGGGAAGTCTGTGCAATCAGGAAACAATTGAGAGCTCAGGACTTTCCACGCTTCAGATAACACTGTGTGCCGAAATCCTCAGCCCATGAGGCGCGGGGGAAACGGCACGCTTGCTGGCACAGTGACGTAAATAACCTTTGGCCAGCACTTGCTGAGGTCCCGGCTTGCCCCGAGCCGCACCCCAACGTGAGGGCCTCACTCCAGCGTCTCCCTGAAAATACAGGCCTGTTTACTGGAAGGAGCACTGTGTCTTGCTGGTAAGGCTCTTACCTTTGAACTCCTGAGCCAAAGCAGGGCAATAGTACTCGTTCAGTGAGACCTGAAGGGGGCTGGTAGTGGTATTTTGCTGCCAAAGTTGGCACTGTGCTGGGAACAAATGGTACAATGCCCACATCTGCTGCCTGCCCTGTCTGCGTGCAGGCAAACCTGAGCGAAATGGAAGGAGGCAGCTCTTTGCAGTTAAGCTTTAATAACACAAGGGTGGATTAAAGTTTACACACAACCCACTGTGCTCAACCAAGGCACAAGTCCATGGCACGCTGTCCCGCATCATGGCCCTCACAGTGGCCCTCAGCGGGTGCCCGGGGCTGAGAATAAGGGCAGGGCAAGCGGGTAGTGACATTTCCCCGCCTCTGGTGACTCACGGCTCAGGCACTTACAGAGCCAACAATGTGTCTTTGTATTCGTAGATCTCAATGGATTTCTCTTTCATGGTCTTGTCTAGTTGGCTTTTGAGCCCGTGTAAAGCCTACAAATCCTGAAATAATGAATCACGCAATTTGTCTTGCACCTGGTACAAAGAAAACGCCTCCCTTTGTGGGGATTGAACCTGACATCTGCTGGTTTTGCTGCATGCCCTCTTGCCTTTATAAAAAAAAAAAATCCAGCCATTATTCGTGTCCTCCCCTGCCAGTCAAGGTTGTAGAGCTTTCTATCATAGTTCCTGTCAACTGTTTTTTTTTTTTTTTTTTTTTTTTTTTTTTTCTAGGCTGAGTCAGTGAGACAGCATGAAGGACTGGAAAGTGAAACTTGGCTGGCTATTGAATGCTCTGGAGCTAATCCCCCGTGTCACTGTATTTACACCCGTGGATAACCCTGGAGTAGCAGCTGAGTGCTCTAAGAGGCTCCTGGGAATCCCGTTCACCTCTCATATTTTGGCACAAAAACAAGCACTCAATTACAAAACCCAGGTGTGATTACGGCAGGGGACGGGACCAAGAGCGTGTGATGGCAGGCTGCCACCGTGCAGCACAGGCGTGAGTTTGCAGTGTCCCAGCAGCGTGGCACCAGGGCACTACTGATGTGGCACGTACGACATGTCACTATCAGGCATGGCCAATGCTGCCTGCGAGAGGGGCAGGGCTGGCACCGATAGGATCTGCTGGGACAACCCCACGTACAGCCAGGTGGTGAGGGAACGGGGAAAGAGCCGGGCCCAGCAGGACTCAGCCATGCGTTATTTAACCTAAACTGCAGTGAGAGCTCCACCTGCACAGCTCCTGCTCTGGGTTTGTCCCCAACACATCATCCTTCGTGACAAAGCACAAGGACAGAGGGAAGAAGGTGATAGATAATAATCCATTGTGTCTGGGCTTCTGCAACAAATTTGACTTTGTACCCCATGATACTGATTTCAAAACAGCATGGTATGGACATGAAATGGTTCCAGAATAAGGAACAAAGGCTGTATTTCTGGCCCCAATAACTCAGTGAAGGCGTTAAGGAGAATAGTGGCCAAGCCTCTGGCCAAAAGCTGTCTGTGCAGGCGGTGGTGAGGAGTTAAATGTGGTTTCTATCATCTGCCACACTGATGAGACAGATAAGCACACGTCACACCCGTTGTTGTGGCAGCACATGGAGAACAACATTTCTAAATGGGGAGGGTGCAGAAATGAATACTGGAAGAGCTGAAGAAAAGTGCCTTACATGATGGCAATGAAGAATGGGAGCGGTCCAATCTATTTAACTCTGTCTCTGTGCTCAGAGGGACTACAGTTACAGCACTTAGCGAAAGGGGAATGTGCAGGTGACTTGAAGCATTGGAGAAAAAGGGAAAGCTTGTAGCTGGAAGTTTAAGCCAGATCTACTCACCCTGGAAGTCAAGCAGACCTGGGATAAAGAAAGTGACTTATGTAAATTCAAGGTCTTCTGCCCTCCTGGGAGATGTGCTTCATTCAGAGACACGCAGCGAGCAGTAGGGTTTGCCTGGGATCCGATGCCCAAGTGGGTTCTTCCCACCTCAGCCCCATGGGAGAAGCACCTCTGGCAGCAGGGACCCGTCCTCGCTGCACACCTGCATGTGCTGCTCCGTTCTCACACGGGTGAACCCCGTGGCTGCAGCAATGTGCAGGGCTGCTGCCCCGCTGTCCTGGACCCACACCCTCCTACCCCTCCGTGCTGGCTGCCCAGGGCCTCCCCTTGTGAGGGCACAGCCCAGGGGGTGCAAAATGTCTGGGTGGAGAAGGGCCAGTCACTAGCTCCTGGAGCAGAGCTGGTGTGCCCAGAAGGACTACCAGGTTTTTAGCCTCCCTTGAATTTCTCCAGGCCTCTGTTTATGGGATGGTGCTCAGAGATCGGCCTTCTTCCAGGAGAAGGCGCAGTGCTGAATGCTTGGGAAGTTACTCAGAGCTCCAGTCTGTACTCCCGAAGCCACAGATACTGCTGGAGCTCTGAATCTCTCCATCCTCTCTCCATCACGGGATTTGCCTCCCTCAGGTGGCCCCTTGTTAAAGCATTGGGAGTTTTTACTGTTCTCCCCTTCTACCTGCCCTATGCCATGCTGATCCCTGGGGCACAGTGCTCATCCTGGCCTCTTGCACCTCTGGAGCTCTTTAGTTTTCAGCATTTCCCTTGCTGCTGCCACTCAGAAATGCCTGGCGCCTGTTTCTCCCTCATTTGCTGGCACAGCAAATGCATTTGCCAAACAGCATTTCCTGGTCTTATGAACTCAGCCAGAGAACAAGGAAAAAAAAAGAAAAAGAAAAAAAAAAAAAAAGAGAGAGAGAGATAAGACCTGCTTTCCCAGACATGTCTCTTTTTATTAAATCACATCTTAAAACCTAGAAACATTCATGTATTTGAAACCTGGTTATCATACACAAAGCAGCAGATAGTCTCAGAGAAACATGTTAACAGTGGCAGCAGAGATGGCAGAGGTCTCCTGCATCGCAGCCAGGACTGCCCCGTGCCTGGACACCACAGAGCCAGCCAGAAACTGCGTCTAGAACAGGGCAGTTCCTCGGAGTAACTTTCTTCTGCCCTCTCCAAGCAGCCAGCGTGCTGGTGCAGGGCCCACTGAGAACTCAAAAGTTACAATCCTCATGTACAAACCTCTCCATTCAGACAGTTTTTGCCTCAAACCAGCACATCTGAAGCTCAGCTCTCCAGCCTAGAGGCTCTCTGGGGGCCGACATTTCCAGCCCCTCGTGCACCTGTCCTGTTTGGCTCCCAGCTGAGCTGGGACATGAGGGCTGCTCGGACACAGCGGGGAAGTTTCTTGTGGAGCTTTGCCTGGGGCGGTGCAGAGGAGCACAGATGAACTCATCCGTGTTTCACTGCTCCTACACGCCTTGGTTTTGAAAGCAGCAGGGTGCTGTCAGCTCCCTCTGAACTCAGGTGAAAGCAAACGCAGCTAGACCACAGAGTGTTTCATCTGCACAGGGTTTGTCAAATGGTCAATTACTATTCGCACTCGAGGTTGTTTTTTCCCCCCATTACTTTGGCAGCCACACTTATTTCTTTCCTTTTCTCATTCGGATGAACATAATTTGCTGAAGCATCTCAGAATTTAAAAGCACTGCAGGACACAAAGTATCCTTCGCCATATTTTCAAAGCCTGCACGCTTACCTTTCCCACTCATTGCTCACATATTTGGATTTCCATTCAGAAAACCGATGAGCAGCCTTCACCAGCAGCTCTGCAATAACAAAGCGAGGGCTTGCAGCTGGGCAGAGGAACTGGAAATGAAAACTGGTATCTGAACTCAGTGGAAACAGTGAAGATATTAAAAGCACGCTGACCTCCCAGCCTTGCGAGTACAGTTTTTGCTGCGGCTGTCGCCTGACATCACAACTGAAGTCACCCAGTTCCAGGAATAGTGTTGGTCAGAAACAACAGGAAACGCACAGCGGAAAAACTACAGCCCCTTTTTGCTTATTTGGGTATGACTCCAACCCGTTTCCCTGGGATGTGGCACGCAAAGCTCACTCGGTTTCTTCAGTATCCCCACCTCAACACCTAATAAAGCAACGTCTCATTTAGCAAGTGGAGCAAGGGAAGCAGGATCCCTACTCAAAGCACCTTGCTTTGCTGTACATATTTGAGATGTTTTTAGGGCATTTCAAATGTCAGGGCAAAGACACCTGCCACTTCCCTTGAATTCCCAGCTCTGCACCAGCAGGACCTCCTAGTGGAGACTATACCAGTACAACTGAGTTTTAGCACTTAAAACAACAACAACAAAACAAACAAACAAACAAACAAATCAAATAACCTCCCACTTTCTGTTGAAGCTTTTTGAACGCCACCTGCATGCAGGTGTGCTGGTCCTGAGCCAGGGCCAGTGTGACCGCGGCAGCGAGCGGTCCGTGGCCAGTTGCCACAGCCTTCTTGGCACTGCTGCAATTCCACTTGAAACACTCCACGTAAGAAACACTCCACATGTACAAGGCGCCACATCCATGCACAGCCACCAGAGGAAGACGACATTCAGAGACACAAAAACCCCACTGACACCAGGGAGCAGGGGAGGTGCAGTGCTAGCAGGTTATTGCTGTACACACTCGATGACTCAAAAGAAGGGTTACACTGCTAGGAAGGATAAAAGCTGGGCTTTGTTGGCTGTTTGAGGGTCCCTAGGAGTACATCTAGGGCCACTACTGCTTTGTTCAACCATCAGCTCATCTGGATGCTGCAATAAGAAAGACCAGGGTGACTACTTTTAAGGATACTCTAAAAGCAATACATTAACGTGAGAAATTACTAGGTCATGTTAGTTCTTTAAAGTTTACTAAACATTTACAGAAAATGCAATTTAGATTCCCTTCCGGTGGATTATTTACATTTCATGTGCATAATTTTGTTACTTCCAGTCTTCCAAGTTTTCCACACTGATTTGGCAGTATGTTGGGCAGAATTTGTTTTTGAGTCGAAGCAGCTATCGCTGAGATTGTAGCGAGACAGCCAACTCTGATATCTCATTGATTACCTGGGAGTAATGACAATTACAGTCAGGTTCATAGTCATTAAACCACCCATTTACTCACAGCTCCGGTAAACAATTATTACTACAAGCTGACTTCTCATCAAGGCCATAAAAGTTTCTAGTTGACTTTGGCTTGTATTTCCACAATGGAGAAATAAAAAAAACAGTTCCATGAAAGACATAGAAAGCCACAGATACTCTGTGATCAGTGGGACAAGATACAGAATCACACTTTTTTTTTTATTATTTTTTATTTTTTTACAGATGGTTTGGAAAATGGTATTGTCGCTCAATATCCCTGGGGAGGATATCTGTTTGGCATCCTGCAGGATGGTGTCTGGATCACCGGTTTCAGGGAATGTTATGGCAAAACCACGAGTATGGAGTGATTCAGCTGAACGTGTACCTGCAAATCTGCTTCCTGCTCCTGGCAGTGTGGTTGGGTTGCTTGGGGAAGGATGACACAGTCCAGCACATCCTCTGATGTTCTGGCAACTCATGCCAATTGCCAACAGCCTTGGAAGGATATATTTTTAATCATAGTGCCATATCACATCCTGGACCATTAGTAATGTATGTGTCACTCTCAAACTGGGTTTTGATGGGTTGAATGTTTACACGGACACAAAGAAAGCAGAGTGAGCCTGTTCTTCCACCTCCTGGCAGGGCTGGGGTTAAGGGCAGACTCCCCCTTCCAGGTCCCACCAGGATATTTAAAATCAGCACTTCCCTCTTTCAGCTAGCCCCGATTGTGTTGCCTGAAGGTGGTGAAGCAACATTTGCAGCCACTTTGCCAGCAAAGCCCTGGAAACAGGAACTCCCAGCCGCAGGTCACTAACACAGTTGGGTCCTGAAACAACAGCAGCTATTTGCAAAATGGATGCATGCCAAGAGCTGGAGAGACGCTAACACCGCATGGACAACAACGGTGACATTGCCTTATGCTTTCCTGCGTGTGGCAGAACGAGCGAGAGCAACTGAGGAGGAAAGTCTTCCCCAGAGCACGGGGAATATGACCATGCGTGAAGAGATGCTGTGAAAGCACCTACATGCATGCTGTCCAGAAGCTACTGGAGCAGGAAACCTGTGCCGAGCTTCAGACTAGTCCAGGCTGGGAAATAAAGAACAAATTCATTTCCAGAGTCCCCTCAGCAAAGCAGTGCTCCTTGGAGGCAGAGCAGAGCTCCCCAAGGCCATGAGACGTGGCTCAAGCTGCTCCTGGGGCACTTGGAGGTGGGTAGGTCCCACAGTTACGCACAGCAGAGTCCTCACGCAGGGACAGGGAGGGTTGGCTGGCTGCCTTTTGCAGTCAGATGTTTCACTAAAGCTACAAGGATTTTTCTGTTTCTGTTTACTTAACACAGTAAAGGGCTGATCTGCCAATTCCTGTTTCCCATCCCAGGCCTGGAGGTCAGCTGCAAAGGGAAGCTGGTGGCTGCAGCATGAGGAGGGGTGCCAAAAGCTGTATCAGTTTTCCTCTGTCCCCCAGGTAACTGAATTTTCTTCTTTCCTTTAATTCTCAGCCAATGGAGGTGAAAAGAGAAAAGCCTCTCTAGGAAACCTTGTATAAAACAAGTGCCACTTCCAAAAAAGATGCCCCCCCCCAGGCTCTACAGCAGAGTGAATGTTCTCTGCAGGCACCACACCCTCAGCAGCCGCTTCCAGTGCATGAGCCTGGCCGAGGAGCACCAGACTGGGCAGCTGATGCACTTGGAGCTTCCCTTTCTCCTTTCCTGGAAGCAATGATCCCAGCCCAGGGCACTGCAACTAGCAGAGCCCTCTGCTGATGTTCATCAGGCCAGGAGAAGCATTAGAGGTGATATCCTGCACTGCCTCACAGAAAGAAGAGCAGAAGCTCTTATACATGGTTGGGGTGAAACGATTTAGCTATTCGTATATTATAGCTATTATATATTAGCTATTTAATCTATTTCTCTCGAGGTTAAACTGGTGTCCCTGTTTCTCCTCCCCTTGCTAAGAGCAAATCCAGGCTGCGCAGGAGCTGCAGTAACACCAGGCAGCCCCCCCACGATGGGGCAGCACATAACGGTGCAGAGCCCAAAGCGAAAGGACTGCTGATCCTCTAACAGGGACGGTTATGATGAGCTCACCTGCTCAACCACAAACTGCTCACTCGAATTATCCTTATTAGAGGTAAGCTTCAATTTAGACAGCAATTACTGTGTGTGAGCAAACCTGTTTTAGGGCTTCCGACAGTCACATCTGAACAGCAGATAGCTCAAAGCTGGAAAAGCATGAAGAGGTGGAAGGACAAATTGTCCAGTGTGCTCAGCAGCCACAGTTCCCCCAGGCAGAGCACCCTGCGGACGAGCTGAGCCTTGCAGGCACTGCTGGGGGCTGCCCTGAACAGAAACCACTGCACAGGCACACGGCGTGCAAGAACGGGCACCCGACCTCTGCAGAGGGGATGTGCTGGCTGTGCCGTGCCGTGCACTGATGGCAACTGCACACAGAGGTCATCTTTTACAGGCTGGTCCAACTGAGGAAGTTACAGGCTCTATTTTTAACACTACGGTTTAGATGCTTACAATTTTTTTTTCAGCCTGTCCTCTGCTGATCCCTTCCTTCCCCAACAGACACTTGAAAAATTCAAGTTAAAGGGGAAGAATTCTTTTTTTCCTCTTTTTCAAAAACGGTTAACACTTCAATGACACTATTTGCACAGAAGACTTTAAACACCAAAATTCTATTGTCTTTCCCGTCACAGCTTTTAGAGCATTTAATCTCTTTAGTTAAATGAATGCTACAAAGGAAATAATACGCTCATGTCATAAACATCACAAACTATGTGGGATATAGATCTTTGGAAAAGAGAGAAATGCATTAATTGTTTGTCATTATACTTGTACTACAGTCAACTGCACCAGTAAAACAGTCGTAGTGTTCATTCAGACAGACATCTTCCTACAGAAGTTATGCAACTGTACAATCTACCCTTCTACATTGCAACCCAAGTTCTACAAGTGGTCAATGATAATAGATATACACTAGTTCTACAGATAAATCACTGCAGTGGATATATAAATGGGCCCTTTCAGAGTTATAGAAGATTTTCAATAGTTCCACAATGCTACATTCATGCTACCAAGTTCACTGAATTGGGATTTTACTTCAGAAAAGAAAGAGGAAGAACAATTTGTTTGTCTCCAGTTAGGAGCATAACCACAGGAGGTAAAAGGGTCAGAAAGGGAGAGAGTTTTAGAAAGGGAGAGAGTTTTGCTTCAGCATTTTCATCCTGCCACTACCATCTCTAAACAACACATGACTTTTCTTTCTGGTACCCACAGCTCCCACCTCTCACAAGCACAGCTGGTGGAAGCTACCATGCTAAATAACAGAAAATTGGCTTCTTTTTTAATAATATCTGTCATTTTCTTCCCAAAATCATAGGCCTCTGCTCACTGTTCCCTTCACTACAGATCTGGAAAGCATGAGTCCAGCCAGGGATGGGGTGCAGGTACCAGCCCTCCCCATCGCCACGCCAGCTCAGCAGGCGCGGGGCAGCCTCCTAACAGCTCCTAACCAGAGGGGGAGGAATAACTCACAGCTATTTGGTTCAACATGTTACTTCCAACGGCTCCAGCCTCTCTCTCCACCTATTCCTCTCCTTACTTACCATATGTACAATGTTTCTTCAAAAGCTTTGCTATAAAACTGCTATAAATGTACAGGGTTCAGCAGTTCTAGCCAGGGACCTGCTCCCCAAAATTACAACCACAGACATGTCACAGAGGGAAGGAGTACTCTACAGGTCAGAACAACTAGTTCTTTTTGTAAGTATTTAAAACAAGATTTGTACATGTATTTGCCATCACTTCACAATGTAATAATTTAGATAGCAGGAAATGAGGAAAACAAGGTAATCCTTCCCTGTTATTCCCCAGTACATTTCACTTATATAAGAAATAAATTGTATAATCTCCCAGAACAGCTAGAGTGACCAACACAGACTAAGTAGTATTTATCCTCTGAACAGGAGAGTTGCAGATGAAACAAAACAAAACAAAACCCATCCCAAAACAGAAATCAACCCCCACCCTAAACAAACAAGAAGTAAATATATTCCAAAATATATCCTCAAATATCAAGTACAAATCTGGGTTCTCAAACCACACCTGCTTTGACAAAGCTCTGTGTTTACTTTGTCCTACACAGGAAGGGATGTGAGCAGCTCAGACCAACAAACAGGTCTTTATAGCATTGAAAAAAGAGGTGATCTATGCACAAACAACTTGCAATCAAGTGAACATAGGGAAGATTCAAACTCATGCTACAAACCCGGGCTGTATTCTTCAAGAAGCATTTCTTCCAAATGCCTCAGTCTCCTTGGAGGATTTCCGGTGGTCAAGTAACCTCGCTGTTCAACACAGCAGACTAGAAAGAGAACTCATCTCTCAACACGTAGCAAAACACCGGCATGAACAAGTAATTACCATGGCTATTAATTTCTAATTCATTTTTATACCATAGAGAACCTGACCGAGGTTTCCCAGTCAGACACTGTATTCCTAACCTAAAATATTTCAGCAAAACTAAAGTCACATAGTTTTGCAAGCAGCAAAATAGAAGTAACGAAGTTGTGGCTAACTGGAGGAGAAATATACATTCGTGAGAGCACATACAATTAGTGCAACACAGCTACTCTGAAAGTAACAAACCAAACCAGATTAATCAATGCAGCAGACATGCAGGGTCTGCTAAGTTATGTTAAAACCATGTTTGCTGGTGATTAAATATGTCTACAGAAGATATATTACCATTTTGAATATATTTTCAAGCAGACCAAAAATACCTCATCTATTGGTTACTGGTGTGTTATTTTTAACTAATTAAATATTGGGAGAGATTTTACCTCCCTCTCTATAAAAATTGCACTTATTTTCTATTAAACAAAACAAAAAGAGTTAGACTTCAATTCTATATTCCAGTATATATTCACATTGAAACTGGATCATCTTCATCTAAGCTTGCAGGAGTAGGTGTAGCAGTCCTTGCTCTCCGAGATCCCCAAGCACAGAAGGTCCCATCAGTACCAAACCCTCCCTCCTCTGTGCTCTGGTCACTTCCTCATTGTAGTGCATGGGTAATTTATTTTATTTTTTGTAAGAAAACCTGAGCTTTAAAAGTCTTTAAAAGGACCTGGAATCAAATCTGGCCCATTCTGACCCAAAACAGCTCAGTTCTGCAAGGAACTCCATCCTGTCCTCATTTCACACAGCTCCTCCTGAGACACCACGGCTCTGACCTGAGGCGAGTGAGGTGTCAAACCCTTTCCCTCCAGTCTCTCTTGACCCAGGAGACTTTCCTCCCGATACACTTCTGATTGCTCCTTCTTCCCTCCCTTTAGCACTGCTGCCTCCTGTAGGGCTTTGAAGGGCTCCCTGTGCCAATAAAAAAGTCTCTCTGCAATAAGCATGACTTCTTGGACACTGGTGATCAACTTCTTCTTGCAAAGTCTTCTCCAGCTCATAAAATGTCATCGTAATCCAAAAGTTTAGAGTGCTGGCGGGTCTTCCAGAGGCGGTAAAGGCGGAAGTCAAAGTAAGTCTCAATCATTTGCTTACCTAGGAGAAATGAGATGAAGCAGAGGAGTTACACCCTGCAGCACAGGAGAGACAGGACAGGCCACAGCACCAAACACCAAAACACCTACAGGTAGGGGCATAAGAACCTGTCTACATGCCTCACGTGGAGAATACTGACATGCAGCATGTACCCAGGGCATGTGAAGGTGCCCATGAGAAGCAAATGTCTTTTTAGAAATCCTCAAACCCTGAAAGGCTCTTCATAATCCCCTAGAAAGGTCTGTCCATGGAGGCGGGAGCTGAACACAAAGTCTGGCTCCAGACATTTGACCTCCTGCAGTGACTGCAGAAGGGGGGACCTGTAGCGTATCAGACAACAGCTTCAACAGCCTGCACGAGGCAACATTGCACAGAGAATTTACAATATTACAAATCAAGATTAAACTCATTGTACAAACGTGTGGGAAACACTAAAACAATTCACATTGAAAATTCAAAAATTTGTGTTTTTTTTTTCCTTTTTTTTTTTTCAGGGAGATGGGGAGGGTGAGAATTAACATTAACAAGCTATTTCTGTCCTGCAGATTTGTCTCTTCTCACAGCAATAAGCTCAACAGCACACTCTAATACAATTTCTACACCACTGGCACCAGTGATTGAAGGTGTGCTTGTAGGGAGGGGGCCTCACAAGGCACTTGCAGGCTGAACAGCACGCACAGGGTTGGCACTGGAGGCAATGACTACATTTGAAAACACAAGGGACATACAGCCCTGGACTCAGGGCTCAGGGAAGAGATTTTCGCTTTTGAGGCCTGATTAAGATTAGTTTCAGATGACTTTGAGAAGGATTAAGGAGGTTACACTATTAGCGTGTCCCAGATTGATCAACAGGATAAATTCAGACGTAGTCTTCAGCCCAACCTCCTGGAAGATCAACTGCTTAAATGCATGTGCGCAGACTCCGCAGCCTTGCCTGCTGGGTTGTGTATAAAACCAGGAATTTCCCTGCAAGTTGCTTCTTGGTATACATGTACAATCATGTTTGCTGTGGGATCTGTGCAACCAAACCTCAGCAGGACATGCAGAGAACACTGCACAGCACTAACACGCTCAGCTACTGTACATTCCTATGGGTGGTAAGTGGGAGTTATGAATAACCTGTCAGTGCTGATGCCAGCTGTGAGCAGCACGGGAAGGATCCACGTGCAGCAGCTGAGTGCCGCATGTTTTCATCAGAGAGAAAGTACCAAGGACTATGGCAAAGATAAATTAACAAGGGCAACTTCAGAATAAGTCAACTACATGTCACTTGTGAAACTGCACCCGTACTTGCATTAACCAAAAGAGGAAAAAACGCCATAGCCCTTGAAATATCTTAAACTAGAAGATTTTACAAACAAAAAAAAAAAAAAAAAAAAAACCAACAATAAAGTGGAATGAGATGTGGAAAGGCTATAATGGGCTCCATCCAAGTCACCTGTCGATGAGACAACCTGCTTGGCACCAGTGGTGTGAGTCCTCTGGAGAAGAAACCTCTGCACACACTTGGTTACAGAAAAGGTTCTGCTTGTACGTACATCTCTCCCAAGGACTTCACATGCCCTAGTGAAATGATGAATCTCCTAAATTCAGACTGGAAAGCAGCCTATAATTCAGGCTACTTTGCCACTTCCAGTAGCCTGGGCAGAAGCTATGCAGCTTCAGGCACAACACGATAGCTAAACTGTGAGCAGAACTGCAAGGAACAAACTGGTGGCAGAACTGCAAGGGGAAAACCAGGCTCAGCAAATGAACTACAGTAAAGGTGACTGCAAGCAAAAGCAAGATCATGTCAGAGCTTAACAGAGCTCAAAATTGCTTTTTCATGAAGATGCCCACTATAAGATGTAGGCTGATCATGAAGACGCATTTCTTTGTACAGAAAAGAAATTACCTTGAGCTGATAGTTCAAGTGGAGACTCAAAGGCAACCCTATAAGGATTCATTAAGTTTTTCAGATTCTGAAATAGCTGAAAGGAAAACATATAAAGAGTTAGAAGCTGAAAACAAGGATGAACTCCAGGGCATCCAGAATTACTCATCCTTCTTCCCTACCTCTAGAAAACGTTCCACTACATGTCTTTTAAAACATCTAGTTCAGCAATAAATAAGCTAAATGCTTTGACTGACTGTTTCCCCCTAGAGGCTTTGGCTCCTGTCCCTTCCTGCATGTCACCAACTAGTCCTCCCCTGCCCTCTGGGGATGGCACAATCCACAGGTGTTTCATCCATTAACAGCAGAGGAAGGAAGGTTTTGACTGCATAGTGTGACTGCTGCCTCCCTGGGCTTGGTGCTACTCAGCAGACATTCCCAGAGAGGTGACCCAGGAAGCTCTTACCTTCTCCCCATTGGGGTTTCCAAGAACATAGCAGCCCATGATGTGAATGATATTTGGTTCAGGATTGACTTTACTCATCAGACGGCTCAACCTCTTCCAGAAGCTGGAAGAAACAAAATAGACCAGTTAGAAATGTATCTCATCATATGCATCAATAATCACACGGATGTGGGAGCACAAACAAGGGCCTGAGGCAAGCTGCCCAGGAAGAGCCACTAGCTCTTAGAAAAGAACAAGCACAGGCAGAGCAGGTTCAAGTCACACAGTAGAGAAGGAGGAGCTGCCCATTGAGTCAAAAGAGCTCCAAGGTAAAGACAAGGGAGCAAAGTCCACCAGGAGTGTTCTTAAACTGGCAGTTTTACTAGGCATTCTTTCTGTGGCAGTTCCCTCCCATTTCCCATCTTCCCTCTCCCATTTCTATCAAGAATTGCCCTTTCTAAGCAGGAGTGTAATTAGTGTTCATTCCCAGCACATGATATCAACAGAAAGCAGCCAGATAGATTCTTTTTCTGGTTGTTTAATGTTAGCCAGTGCTTGCTGCTGCTCAGCAGAATCAGACCTACTTTACATTTTGTCACTGCTGACATGCTGTGTGAGTAGTGTCACAGACACCGTATGTCAGTAGTGACAGTAGTGACATACTGTGTCTTAGGGCCATGAAACACAACCCCCTTCCTTGGGCAATGGTTATAGCAAATTGGTGGGCTCTGAAGCCCAGCAGTTCCTCTTTGGGTCTGTGAGCAGATGTTTGTTTGTGGTATAAGCTCTTCTCAGGACTGCCTCCCAGGCATGTACAGGTTGGATGGAGACATTCGCTTCCAAATATCTAAGTTTTCAGCTGCATGTTCACAGCTTTCTGAAGGTGCCTGAATTACCAACTTCAGACCAGCTATTCTTCCAGTGCATTCGGAAGCATGTATGGAAGCATGGAAACACGTGCCTAAGAATTTTATTGACAGTGTTTGTGCCAGAGCATGAGAGTGCTGAACAGATGTGGATTTTAATATTCAACTCTCATGCCAGCAGTATGTTGTGTAGGAACAGGTTGGTATACATGCTCTCCCCCACAACGAAGCACTGTTAGCCAAGTAAGTTTGAGCCAGCACAAGGAAGCAGGCAGCAAAACAGGCAAAGCTTAACTGTCTGCAAGGAGAAGTAGAATTGCCTCAGCAACGTGCTGGACTTTGAGCAGGCTTTGCAGAGACAAATTCCATTTCCCCCTGCAATTAGAAGGGCAGTTATCAGAGACAGCTGTGGGGGAATGACTTGGATTTCTGCCACTACTCGCCTGCTTAGAAAAGCTACCTCAGCCACTTCCAAGCACAAGGTGCACGTTCTGTTTTCTGGTCAGCAAAGCCTTTGTTAAGACAGGGAACTTCAATTTTTCTCTTTTGCTAATCACTAGTCCAGAGACATACTAAACAGCAGATAAGAGCATAAATCTTCTGCTGACCCGTCCCAGGGCTAACACCAGTCCAGGGTCAAGCTTGGCTCTGTCATCTTTGCAGCTCTCCCTCAAGGGGAGAGCTGTTGGGGTAAGCTGCTATTAAATTCACCCTCGTCCTCCTCTTCCCCAGGCTAAATCATCCTACCTCCCTCTGCCTCTACTTCTATGCCACGTACCACAAACAGAGGAAAGAGATCAGAAAAACATTATGCGAGTCTAGAACACAACAGTCACTCACAGGATCATATCTTCCTCCTTCTCCACTTTGGCGAAGGTGGCAACTTTGTTCTTTAATAAGTATAAGTGGCCGGGACCTCCCTGCAAGAGAGAGACAGACAGATGCCAACCACCTAAAGAAACAGACCCTGGACACGTTTCTTATTCTGTACAGCCATACCCAGAAGTGCCACAAGAGAGCAGAGCGGACACGCCAGGCTGGCACAGCGGCTACAACCTCCAGAGGAGAAACCGTAGGCACTAACTCAGAAAATATTCACATACAGGGAGTATGGTGGGGGTTGGATTCTCTGTTTTTTTAATGTTACATGCCCACCTCACTCTAGAAAGAGGCAGTAAAAGAAAAAAAAAAAAAAACTTCACTGTGGGTGACTGGAGAGCAATAGGGAAGACAAGAAAGTCCCTTTCATTTGGGGATGTTAGGGGACTTGCCATGGTGGGCAGACAAGAAGGGATAAGCAGACAAGATATCACTGTAGAAGAACTGCTATTTGGCAGTAGCAGATATAAAAAGATTGAGCACAACACCAGGAAAATTAAAAATTGCAATCTCCAGCTTAGTGGGGTGCAAACACCACTCTGCAGCATTAGGCACGTACAAGGAAGTTCAAGTCAGTTTATCTCCTCACTTCCCATTTCAAGGTTCCCTGCACAGCTGCCGGGGGAGTCCAGAGATGACCACCCCAGGAATAAGAGCCTCAGGAAGGAAATCCCCAGCAAGGCCCAGACAGAGCAGGGCCGAAATCTGTCCCAGCCACAGCTCCGTGTCTGTACCCTGACCCCTCTCCCTCCACTGAGGCTCCAAGCTGTGCCATCTGTCGGTCAGATCAACAACACCCTCCATTGTCAGTGTCATACTGAAGCTGTATGAAAACTTATAACCATCATATCAGACATGCTTCTTTCTCTCTCCAAAAGCCTGCTTTTGAAGTCTGTGCTACTACAGGTTTGCCTGGGTTTCCTTGAAAGTAGCCAAAAAGATGTCCAGCTCTGGAGGTGGCTACACTAAGTCAAATTTTATTTGCTGCTGTCACAGCATCTTGTGACTGCTCACTGTCTGGGGAAATGAGATGTGAAAGCTGTATACATGTGCTTACTCTAACAGAACCTGACTTTGGAATATTGGTTCCTCCACGTAATTTCCCCCAAAGAAAAAGAGGAATTTGTAACAAACTACCCAAGTGTTTAAGAACTTCTATGTACCTGGCAAAATATCAGCATCTTCCAGATCTTGCAGCCTTTCCGATAGATGTTAAGCTTCTTCTCTATTTCCTCTGAAAACAAAACACAAACAAACAAAACAAAACATGTTGGAAAAGATAAACAACAGAGGAAGTTAAAAATCAATCTCTCAGAATCCTTTTTCTTCTCACCAGAGTTTAGTCTTGCAGGCAGGAGGCCAAGCTGTGAGAGGTGCTCAGCACCTCCATTCCCACTGACATCAAAGCAAACCCTTTGCTTTCATGCCATGGAAAGCAGGAGAATGGGGCTCATCACAGGACAGGCAAGGTATGGTGCAGCACCAGACACTGCTCTGCTGTGACCACAGCACTGTACCAGACCTTACTGTCCTGACCCCATCAATACTTCCACTCACCTAAGTATCACAAACCAGTATCTTTGCTGCCCTGTGCTTCAAACTTCCCTTTCATAATCTGTGACTCTGGCATAAAAAATCACCTACAGAAGTGAAGTTTTATTACTGCAGCACATCCAATAGTAGTTGACTGAGCATCAGGTATCACTGGAGTGATAAAAACACTGTGGCACGTGGCAGGTAAGGCATGGGGCAGTGACTTTAATGCACTAATTGTATTTGCAGCAGGCAGAAGTAAAGAAAAAGAAATAACACTCAACGTACCTAAGATGTCATCAAAGGTGGCGTGTTCATGGTCCTGGAAACAAAGAGAGGGTAAACATCAAGGTCACTACACCAGCTCCCCTGACATATCTCTAATATTGCATACAGTCATATTCCCAGACAAACATACTGTAAAGCATGATCAGAACAGCTGATGGCTTCTAGTCCATATCACAGGAATTACCACCCTAAAACACATCTCAAAGAAACTGAATTCTGAGTGGTCCATGAAGACCAAGTCCATCTAAAGACTTGGAGATGAAACCCACAGACAAGTCCAAAGCACGTGCCATCAGATGCAGTCAATGTTATCGTGTATTTTCCTCTTGGCCCATGTTTTGTGGCCAAATGATGGCTTTACAGATGTTCAAGCTGGCTAACAAATAGCCACACCCCAAACACACCTGCCTCTGGCAGGGTCAGCAGGACAACTGTACAGCTCTCAGAGAGAAGTAACAAAGCTCCAGCAGCACTGTCTGCTGCACGTGGAGACCGAATTTTCTGGGCTGTCAGTCCAACCCTCCCCTTTCAATTTAAGTGAATATGAAGTGATTAGGAAAAAGAGACCCATGACTCCCTGGTGGTATTTCAGACACCTGCTCAGGCAAGACTCCTAGTGAAAATCAAGGTTAAATTAATGACTGCTGGGGATGCACCACTGCACATAGTGGGATGGTCCACTGCAGAGCTCTGAGGTCCCGCACTGCCTAAGTATGAGCATGAGGAGGAGCCCCGAACCTTGCAACACACAGCTTTACTGATATGCTCAGGCCTGCCTTATCTTCCTTTGTTCACCTTCCCACACTACCTGGCTGTGCCTACACAGTCTGACAACCCACACACGCAACTTTCACTCCACCTTGCTCTTCCATCTACACCTCAGCCCTCAAAGAACCGTGCAAGACCCCAAATCTGGGTCCAGCAGTGTTTCCAAATCACTGTAACAGGAATTAGGTATAAGGACAAAAGCAAAAACAAAAGAAAAAAAAATCTGTGTGGAGCCAGCTTCTGCACTCCTGGACACAGCAGAAGCGATATACTTACATAGAGAATGGGGATGATAGAGGGATCGTCCCTGCGGATAATTGTTGGGACATACTCAGCTTTGGGCACCTTGGAAGAAATGAGCTGTAAGGGAAAAAAAGAAGTGCAAGAGGATAAGGAGAAGCCAATCAAGTCTGTTCAGAAGCACAAAGGCCTTGCTAATAGCGTCCTGCTCAGTTGCTCCCAGGTGTTACCCAAACCAGCAGCTCATCCAGCCTACCTGCACTGCTGGGGAAGGTCCTCCCAGCCTGTGGGCCTCTACGGAGCACCTCAGGCATCACAGCCTCCCCAACGCCCAGCAACTGAGCGCACAGCTCTGCCCGATGAGCAGGACTGAGTCTGAGATAACAGTTTGTAAAGAGGACACAGGCGTGCACAGAGGATTCAGCAGCTTGCGCCTCCCCACAAATGGCTGTATTAAAGATCACCCTGTGTGAGGGTCTGTGCCTTTGAATTCACACACACAGCTGGCCAGTGGTGGGATGGCTGCACGCCTGAACTGACACGAGCCAGGGCTGAGCTCAGCAGTTGCCAAGGGATAAAATGGCATCAGGCACAGGTATGTGCACAGCCGTAGGATGTCAGGCAGATGCAAGTTGCCTGGCAACTCTGGCTGAAGCATTCAGCCAGCTCTGTAACAGTCTAAGCAGATAGGCCTGTCTCAGCACAAGCCATTGAAACACAGCTGATCTGGCTGTGCTGTGATTTCAGGCACCTCTCTTCACCACTGTGAGAGTGGAGCAGGCACTGGTGGGCCTGGAAGCACAGCCTGGGCTCCAGCTTCGGCTGCTTTCAAAGCTCTCCCTCCTGGCAGGCAGCACACCGCTGCTTCGGCCACATGGGAGATAATGTAAAGCTCCCAAAGAGGCACAATGTGCAGAGTCCGGGGATGGACACTCCTCACATTCACATGAAGATACTGAATTTAACAGCTGTTAAAAGGCAGAAAGGGCATAAGCAGATAAAGATAGCTGGCTTGGAAACCCTCACCATTATTTTTGGTGGAATAAAGTCTTCTCCATCGCATGCCATGGCTTCAAGCTCCTTTTCTGCTTCCCAGTTCAAGTCAAAGTCACCATCCAAAGTGCCGCAGGAATCCTGAAGGTCATGGCCTGTCAGAACACGGGTGCATTACAAGGGCAGATCAGCTTGCCTTCCACACTCGATCCTATCTAGCAGCTACCTCACAAGAAGTAGCACAAGCCATGAGACCTGTGCCCTCCTTTCCTCCAGCAGAGCGACAGACACCACACTTTGGGGCTGGCGTCTCTAAACAGACAAACACTCTTAAGAAACGAAGAGTGCACACACAAAGCCTGATACCACATACCACGGAACATTTCACCACTCTCACGGTCACCAAGTTTAGCTTTCAAATGCTATTTCACAACATTCCCTGTCATTTCAGAAATGGAGGAGATGGGATGCGGACAGACTCTCTGCACTTTAACATTGCCAAGCTGATGAGCAGAAGTCCAGAGACTTCAAAGCTGGTCTCCTTGTATTAATTACTGGACTACATCTTTTGAGTGCTTATACAGAAACTCCGCCTTTTTAGTCAAACCAATCCTGGCAGAGAATCCCGGAGTGTGAGGACAGCCATAGCAAACACAGTAGTAAACACAGTAGTATTTCAACAATATACTTGAATTTGTTCTCCAAATTCACCTTACCTGTTGGCCTTCAATGCCTCCTGGGGAAAAAAAAACATCTGGAAGGAATATAATTGACCGTTAAAGGTTAAAAATAGAGGTGGTCCCTGAAGCCTGAGGAAAGAGAACCGAGATGCTTCTACTTGTGCCTTTTGGGATGTCCAAGTACCAGTGGCAGTGCCTGGAGCACTGAACATTTCTGTCTGAACCATGTCTTTTCCATTCGCCTCTGAGTTAGCTGAGGGAGCAGGGAGGAGTCAAACTGCACAGGAACAATCGGGTCATGTTTTGAACCTGGCCTTTCATACATCTCCCCCTGCAACCTGCTACAGTGCCTTCTATAGTTAAGAGGACTAGGACCTCATGCTTACCTGAAATTGAATTCATTAGTTGATTTCATGAATGAAATTTATGTAATGAATACAACCCATTTCAGCATGGACAAACTCATTACCATGAAGTCCCTTGCCTGTATTTCGAATGAATACTGTGTAAAACAGCCATTCCCTTTAGAAAAAAAAAAAGACAGTAGGAAGATGCTGGCATTTCCTCCTGTAAATTAGCAGAACAGCATCTCTGTCCCCACAAGCAAAACACTGCAGCATTACTGGGGATTCCCAGAGGAATTCCTGGCAGCCCAAAGGAAGATCAGATTGCCCCAAGCTATATCACCTGTGCAGTCAGCACAGCCAGGAAATCAAAGTTACTCCTCACAGAGCACTACAGCTGTGCTCTGAGTCATTCTAGCCTAGGAAAGAGCTCAGAAGAGGCTCTTGCACAGGCAGCTGGGCAGGTTAGCCCCACTGTCGTGAATATAGCCTTGGACGGGTGTGCTTCCAGGTAGGGTGTTTGGTCCCAAGCAAATAAGGGATGATGGGAATAGAGGACCATAAGAGCTGTACCACTGGGTATCCTTTGGCCACTGCACAATAGCATGAGGTTAGATGTGCTTGCACTCTACATATAGATACACACAGATAAACATGTGCATATACCTGCAGTGTTATTTGCTCAGATCTCACAAAACTAAAAAGATCACAGATGGGACAAAAGGGCACAGAGAAATTACTCCAGTGGGACTCCAGTCAACACCTCAGCTGGAGGGTTTGGCCACAGGAGGAAGCTCAAAGGACTCAGAACTCACTTTCTCGAGAGTCATGGAAGGAATCAGCTTTGATGGGAGTCGGGTCACTCCAGGACCTGCTGAAGCTCCTCTCACGCCGTTCAGCAAATGCTAGGATAAAACCAAAGCACGACATTAACAGACTCCACAGCCACCTCTGTTGCCGCCAGCAAAACAAAACATCCAGTAGATTCCACCAAAGCTACACATCACGATCTCCCCTGTGCTCGTTCTTCCACTTGCCAAATGGGTGTCCTTTCCACACAGCAAACAAGGGTCTTCTGACAGCAGCACACAAAGTGCCCACCTTCTGACCACAGCCACCGCAGGATACGTAACACAGAAAAAGGAGGACACTTCATGGTCTCTCCTTAAATGCACACTGCTCAAACCTCAGTTTAATCAAGGCTATTCCAATGTCCCAGAGTAAATGCTCTGACTCAAAGGCCTTCACAGGAAGGGAAGGTGCACTCAACAGCCAACAACACTTGTGACCAGAAGAAGGCAATCGTCCAGTTGTTTCTCCCTTAACATCTGTTTTCGGGTATGTTCTTGCTCTGTTTCCACCAGAGCTGGACCAAACAGAAAGGGTGTCTGGAAAGCTCATGCTTTCTGAGTTTTGTTGTCAAAGAAGAAATCCTTCAGATTTTGCTTCCTACAGTATCATAAGCATTTTTCTCCCCCACAACCTTCTTTTTTTGTTTCTCCCTTTCTCCCCCCAGGGGCATTTGTGCTGGCATTTCCCAAGCAGAATCCAGGCAGCTTGGCCCAGGCTGGCTGCCCCACCAGGAAATTCCTGGGAATTGCCAACCACAATGTCTGATTTGGCAGGTCCCTGTGAGAGCCATTACACCTAGATTAATGGCCACTTATAGCCATTAATACCTATTTCTGGTAGCAGACAGATCAAGCTTGCTGCAGTATATATCTAGTAACAGCATCTTGTGTCAGGGGCACAGGAATGCACTGCAGATTTGCATTACAAGAGCTGAGAAGCAACCTGTCCTCTGCTGCAGTGTGTCCAAGTGTGGGTGTCCAGGGAGACAAGTCACACAGTAAGTTCTTCAGGTGATCTCCATCCTCAGCTTTCATTTAGAACCACACACGTAGCTACGGTGCACATGAAGAAAGCTTTGAAAACATGACCCGAGAGTTACCAAGGCAGAGAGGCATGCCTGAACTTCCAGACAGCTCTAGGGGAAGGTGAGCCCTGTTCATTTCAGGCAGTGCTAACTCAGATGCCAATAAAGACACTTCAAAGGGCAAAGCTGTTTGCTGTCTACTTCCCACAGTGTAAGAGAATGGAGATGAAAGAATGCAAATTCAACCCAGCAACACTTTGCTGTGGGCAGTCTGTACACGATGCCTGGCCAGGGGGTGGGAAGAACAAGCTGCTTCCTCTTCTGGAACAATCCTCAGCTCTCAGGGGCTGCTTACACCACTCTCAGCCCATTCCACAGCCATAAGGGAGCCATCCCAGCCAAGTTCTGGAGAAGCGTTGCCTTGTTCGGGAAAGGAACTGCTGTTTCCCCAGCCTAAGAGGTGATTTCTTCCCAGCAAGGAATAATGCTCCCCTTATTTACCCCTTGCTCCAATCTCCTCCCTGTTCTTCTTTCTCTCCTCCACCTTCCTCTCAGCTCCCACTGGGCAACTTTCCCCCAGGTCCTGCTGCAGAGAAGACATTGTGGTGGGACAGAGGAGGAGAAAAGGGAAAGCCACTGGTCCACGTGGCACATGAAGCACCGACTGTCCCCAGGGAGCCACAGCAGGCACACAGCTTCGGTAAGAGCAGCCCTCGCTTGCTCTGCTCAGCTCTGATTCTCCTCTCAGGTGTCTACATCGGTGATGGCTGAACACCAGGCAAACACAGGACAAGGACGCTGCAGCTCTCCTTCCACACCTCATGCTGAGGACACAAATCTCCAGCAGCCAAGGCAGAGGGTCCGTGGAAATAGCTTAAAGGCTGCTTGCAGATATCCGTGTGTCTTGGAGACTTGCAACAATCTGGCCTTCTCCTCGTAAGGTAAAACAGCATCAGCAAGTCAAATCCTTTCTCCAACCAATGCTAGGTCCTTTCTACCCACACATGTGCACAACACAGGGCTCTCTGTGTCCCACCAGCACAAAGTTCAACTCCTCACAGCCACATCTTACAGGTTGTCACTTACTTTGTGCTTTAACCCTTCGGCTCCCCACCATGCGGAGGTGCTTCCGAAAATTCCTGAAAGAAAGGCCAAACAAAATCTCTGAGAAAAGTGATATAAAGCTGGGCCCAGCGGAACTGAAAAAGCTGGGGAGGAAAAAAAATATGTGATAACAGCATAGTTCCCTCTGGGCATTCGAACACTGGAGACCGGGTACCCAACCCTGCATCCACTCAGAGCTGGGGAGGGTCACATCTGTCAAGCCCGCAGTTGTTGTTCCTGAACTTTCTGGGCCAGTGGTACAGGGCAAGGAGGCTCTACCTGGCAGTCCCATTCTCGTGGCCTGCTCTGGGCTTTGCACCCACTCTCCTAGGACTAAGGTACCTGCGCTGCAACTTTGCTGAAGAGACTGCTGCTGCCCTTACTGGCAACACTCCCTCTTCTCCTGGCAAGCAGCAGGAGCTGCTCCCCTCTCCTCTCTCTTCCACACATGCTCCAGCAGGAAAGTGGGGTGCCCTGGGCTCTGCCCTGCTAGGCAGTGTGCTCACACAGCTCAGGGCTGTGCTCATTCCCAAACACATTCGTAGCAGCTGCTAAAATCTCACCAGTGCTGTTAGCAACCACACAGCCCATATTGCTCTCTGGGGCAAAATGCTGGGAAATACTGAAGTGGCTTCTTCCTTTTTGGAAGCGCTGCTCAGCAGGGCTGACTGTCCTCGTGGGCCAGCTGGCTGCCGTTGCTGCCTAACCTTGTGCTTTCCTGCAAGCACATTTCAGGGGGGCTGCAGAGTGCACAGCTCCAGAGGAAAGCCCACCAGGGGGTAAGCCTCTGGTATGCAGCCATGCCTGCACTCAGGTCTGCAGAGAACAGATCATTATGGACACTCCTGAGAGCGTGAGGCAGAGGGACTCTTTGTCCAGCCCCTCTAAGAGTCAGGGACTCTTCTCCCTTTGTTTCTCATTGCTCACTGAAACAGGAATCACACAGGACAGCAGAACAGACACAGGGAACGAGCAGCAGGTGGACTAGCAAGGAAGGGCTCACTCCTCCATGAGCTCTGCTCAGCCAGGGTGACTTCACCCTGCACTGGAGCCCCCGTGGCCCCATGGGGATGTCAACGAGCCCACACACCAGCAGCCTGCATGGAGCAGGGGAGTGTTCCTAGATGCCCTCCTGTCCCACCAACACACACCGCAGACATCAAGCAACGGAGACTACCGCTGGTGAAAGAGGTGAGGTGACAAGTCATCTGGCTCACACGCGAGTTAGTGGGATGAGTAATGACGTGTTACAACCATGCAGACACTTCAGCAAACTGACTGGACTGGAAGACACTTCCAGCACCAACACCAAGGCAGTCAGACCAAGTCAGAGGCATCTACTCTGATCCAGGGAGATCAACACAGCCCTCATGAGAGGAAGAGCACTTAACCCACACCATGGTCTGCACTGTGCCCTCTTTGGCCTTGGATCCCATCAAATCAACAGAATCCAAATCCAGCAACTCAGGAAGGAAAACCAGCAGTGCACAGAGAAGCCAGCAGCAGCACTATCCCATGACAGATTTCCACCTGCACTTTGGCTATTTATGACATTTTTCAAAGGTTTATTTCGGCTCTACTTGAATGCATGAAGATTCACTGCTGTGGCTCAGCCAACAGGCCTCTCCGAACAAGCAACCAAAACAAGATGTTTTTCAGCCATATGCTGGACCAGAACTGTATGCAAAGCCTTCTGGGGTGCATGGTGACTGATAACCTGGGCTGTTTTATAGCATGCTAGATTCAAATCAAATAAATACAATGTTCTAAAGGAACTAGGCATGTTCTTTATCAGCTAGGTCTTAAATATGTTGTAAGCCACTGGAGTGAAAGTCTTTGTGGTCCATTGTGAAACTAAGCTCACATCAGACACTGAGTACCAACGTTAAATGCCTAGGCTACCACTGATTACATCCTTCAGGGCTTTTGGCATTTCAGAATAAAATTAATTTCTCTGTTATATGCTCAGTTGTCCTCTCCACAGAGGAGCTTCTTCAGGCCCTGGAGATGGGGGTAGCAGACTTTGCCATAAAATAGTGCTGCTCCCAGCTGCCTGGACAGCTTCGTCTCTCCCATTAGTGAGAGCTGAGAGCAGCTCTCTAGATACATCTTCTAAAAACTGCTGCAAGCAGCTCCAGGCAGAACTCAGGGCTAAGCAATGCACTAAAAACCTGGAGAATGGGACAAAAGTGCTTTTTGTCTGCTCAGCTCTTCTAGAAAAAAGCACTTAGGAAAAGAGATCCAAGCCTGAGACTACTTCAATGTGGGCATCCTACAGCCATCTTGCAGCCTTCCAAGAGCTTTTTGCAGCTGTCTTTGTCCTCAGGCCCCTCTGTGCCTGCATGTCAGCACTAGCAGGACTGGCACAGCACTGCCCAGTCAGCAGCACGTGGGGAGCAGCGATGTGCTCCGTGAGCAGTCAGGCTACAGAAACCTGCCCAGCCGTCACACCTGGCTTCTGCACTTGCACCCCAAAAGCCCAGGGTTATCTGATCACTAGCAAGATCTCTTCACCCACTGAAATCCAACAAGCACCCCTGAAGTTACAGTAATAAAAGCTCCTTATTACTCCCTGTCCTGCAGTGCCACCTGCAGTGGCTCATCTCCACTCTGGAGAGAAGCACCTGCGTTATCTGAACAGAGGTCAGAGACAGTGATGGAATGGCTGAAGTACATCAGCGCTCTACAGAGCTCCTGACAACACCTCTCCAACTTTCTCCTCCCCAAATTCTACCTGCAATGGTCACTACTTCAGCAAATCACTGGGCATCGCTCTCCCAAGACAACATCTATCACAGCGGTACACAAGCCGTGCCACACAAACCAGCCCCCCTGTGCACCAGGCACAGGACCGTGCATGGACAGGGTTGTGTGATAACCACTGAACTTCTAAAACATCTGAGGCCATGAAGGGCTACACAACTAGCATTCAAACTGAGATGAGGCTGGGATCTCACTCCTCAGTGCTGACTGCCAGGCAATCCTTACAGCTCAGCTGGGTCTGCTTGCATGGCACGACCAAAAACCCACACCGACTTCATCATTATTGCAATCCTACCTCCTCTTTGCCACCAATAAATGCAGACTGGCTCCCACGGTACAATCCTGTCTAGACATTAAGTGTCCACAGGAGGTTGAGCTGTCCACATAACACGAGGATGGCACGACAGCCTTAGTCCTGATTATGCAGTATCGCCGAGGTATGCAACTCCTATTCCTGACTCACAAGCTGCAGGAACAAGTCATTTTCTAACAGTCTCATCTCTGTCTAGCAAATTCTGAGAAATCTCTTTCTTTTTAAAGACACACTGTCTATTTATTTACCATGTCTTCAGTTTTGATTCTTATTTGTCTTCATTATCGACGGAAAAAAAAATACACAGTCACTAAGTTACTAAAAAAAATCTTCCTGGCAATTCCCCCATTGAAAAAATTACGTTTTTCTCCCACTTTGTTTTGAACAGTGCTGAAGTGATCACGGCAGTTTTTAGCCAATGACACAAATGCTATGTTATCCTTCCTAGTAGGCTGCCAAAATACACAAGCCTTGGCACATCTGAAAAAAACAGAACAGTTCTGATTACTACAGTGACCAAGTGATGTGCCTTGTGAAACCAGCAGAGGGTAACCAGGGCCCTTTTGAAATAACTGGACAAGAAATCAATCAAATTCCTCTTTTCCTTCCTTTGCGTTTTCTTGAGGTACATATGTAGGTGCAACAATAGCACGTAAGTCACTGTTTAGGTATTCGGCTAATCTCAATCAAATTATCTGTGAATGGGCTGGGGGAACTGCATATATTAATATATATATATATTATTCAACCTTAGACATAGATTCTGTATATTTGGAAGCTTAAAAGAGACTTGACAGTGTTCCTTTAAGAAGACAGAGATAAGCTATCTTGAGTACTGCAGCATCATTCACCTCCACATTTCCAACACAGCCACTGCTAGAGTCCCTATGAACAGCAACACAGACAGGGACAACCATACTCAACGCCATCAAGCGTCACTAATGACACCCAAAGGGCCCATGCAACACCAGGCAAGGTTACGGCTATGGGAGAAAGCGGGCCCTACCTCTGTATAACAGCTGCAGAATCATTCTCTCGTTTCCGTCTCTTCCTTTCTGCGTAGCCCCTGAATGCCCTGGGAAACCATTTTAAGCCATTAACCAACTACGCAGCTTTGAACTGGAAAGGACATGAAACAGACAGGAAAGCTCTCACCAGACAACAGAAAGAGTTTAGGCCGACTGAAGAAGACAGCCAGGCCTTGCAGGACTGGGTGCGAGTCAGGGGCTGGGCAAGAGTCACCAAACCAAAGGCCCTCACTCCCTAGAGTTAGGTGGCTGGACAAGCTCCTAAAGAAAGCATACATGTAGGAGTGGCCAGAACACAGCCCAAAGAATAGGGGCGAAGAGCCATCATCCCTGCTACAGACTAATGGACCTACCAGACTGCAGACATAAAACCTCAGTACACCAGCTTCAAAAGGGACAAAAGCTTGCTAGCCTCTATAATCTCCATTTTGAAGATGAGGATGGGTGTGGTGTGATGTAGGCTTATCAGGTGTAGCCATCTAACCAACCTCTTGCCAGCTGACAAATAGCATAGGGAAAGCACGAATGGATATGATGGACAGGAGAGGAGAGGACAGTTTATCCCAGACACCAACAGACAAGGAAATAAAAAAATAAGATTATACTTACGAGATGCTAGAGATTCCAGGAGACGCAGGGAAAAAGAGAAAGAAGAGGAATTCATTAGTGCTCAGCCCTGGCCAGCATCTTGAGGGAATCCTCACTCCAGAAGGGACAAACGTTTCTTGTTAGGTGGAAGGAAATTGCTTTTAAAGTTAGCTCTTGGTGGTGAAACTCATGCTTGACCAAGCTAACACCTCCCTGGGACAGTGTTGGCATGTGGCTTGGACACAAGTTAAGCTCTACGTAGATCCAAAGAGCATGCAGATGTACAACTGAGAGCTGAATGTGACCCTTCAGGATACGACAGCAGCTCAGTACCAAGGGCTTCTGGAGCAGGGAGGCCTTCTCCCTTGTGTAACCAAGATTTGTGAAATCAGCTCACAGTGTCCAGTCTATGAAGGAAGCAAGCCCTGGGCTGAAAACACTAGAGCAGAGGCCAGGAGGACAAGGGCACCTGGGGGAACCTCCCAGCCAGCTCAGGGAGGTGCCCTGAACTTTTGGAGATGTTTCTGTTTGACTTCCAGAGGCAGCACACTCTGCAGGAGTGTTAACTAGGATCTAATACCAAGAGCTCTGCTCCTCATGGATTTCCTTAGGGCACTTCTCCAAACTAACCTGACTTTAGCCTCCAAGAACTCCAGGCCCTGATAGGGGTCACCATCCTGCAACAAACCCCATACGCAGCGAAGATGACTTCAGAGAGCAAAGGATGTGCCCATAGGCAAAGTGCTGGTTTTGCACATGGTCTGGTTTGCCAGATCAGAATCATAAAATACCATTCACTGTTACCAACCAATATTTGTAGGGTAAAGCAAGAAACCGTCACGTTGTCCTCAGACTGCTCACAGGCCCTATCAGCCCAGTGCCAATGAGCATTAACCAGCCAGGGGTGCCAGCAGACCTGCAGTCCTTGAAGAGGAGGCAGGAGGACACTGGGGCTAAGAAACAGAAGCAGCACAAGGGTCTGCAGGCTGGCACCAGGCGAATGACCCCTGGTAATGTTCCCCAGGCTGGGAGGGTGGGCTGCACCTCCGGCTGAGGTGGTATGGTGAGGAGTGAAAGGGCATGAAGACAGAGCTTTCTTCTGGGGACAGAGATCCCTTCCATATCTCAGCAGTCCCCTCTCCCCAACACTGAACACAGCCCTCCCGGCCTTAGTGCCTACAGGCCTGATTCGGCCTGGGTTATCCCAAGATCAACCACCAGCTTCTTTGGGGGATGTGGGGAGGGCAACATATGAGGGAAAAAAGTGGCAGAGAAACAGACTACAAAATGGAGAGAGCGGATTAAACAAAGAGAAATAAAGGGTATAGTAGAGCTGACGGTGACATGAATGTAGGAAGGAAGAAGGACACAGGAAGAAGGTGACAAGACTGGAGAAAAGCCTTAGAAGACACAACGTTATTTCATTTCCCTCATCACCTGCCTTCATTTTTCATCCAGGTAGGAAATACCTGAAATGAGAAAGATATCTTTTCCTGGTAACTGGGTACAACCTTGAAATGAGGCTTCCTTTACACCCTCACGTCCTCTGAGAACAGCTTTTCCCCAGTGCACAGCATCCAGCAGCACCAAATCCTGCATGGAGTGTGAAGGGAGAGGCTACTACTATCTCCAATCCATTCACATTTCACAGCTATTTACTGACACCTTCTTCAAATGACCAGAAAATCATATTAAGCCATCGGGCTACACCTCATAATACAGAGATGTACTTGTCTGGAGCGATGGATGGCACCCGGATTAACATTCCCTCAGAGCAGCGGCTGCAGCAGAAGTACCTGGTGGAGGGTCTCAGCTGGTGTTCCCACCAGACCCTTGCTCTGCAGAGGCAGTCGAGGACAGGGTACAGTGGCACAGAGAAAATAAAGGAAGCACAAGGACTTAAAGAAGGGAAAGACAAACAAGTGGGAGTAATAGGAAAGAGAAATTATGAGTGCAAAAAAGAAGAAATTCTTTTTTGGAAAAAAAAAAAAAAAAGAACAGGTTCTCATTTAGGTTCTTTTACTCCGATTGCAGTGCCAAACATATAACTTAGTTTGCTCCGTGCTCTCAGATACAGTTTTGAGTGGGTCACAAACTTTAAGATACAGGATCAAAGCTAAGGCAGTAGTTTCACTTACGCTTGCATAGTTGTAGTAGCAGTTTGAAAACTGAAGAGATTCTCTTTTGGGAACCAGGTTCGTATGGGGACATCATCTGGAAGAGAGAGATCAAAACTTGAACATCCAGCAGGCAGAGCCACTGTTCAGGCAGCAAGACTTCCCAGCCTCCTTCTCTTAGTACATTTCTTCAGCATCCTGCCCTGTGTTAAATAAGAGAGTCTCATCCCCTCATTTGGTATGTACGCTACCACCAAATGTTTTGTAAATTTATGCTAAGCCTGTCTATCACACTACTAATGAAGAATGAAAGCTCTCTCCTAAGCACAGAAGGCTAGAATGATCTAGGAACTACAAAAGAGACATCTGAACAAGAGGAAAAAAAAAAAAAAAAAAAACACGGGAAAAACATTTTTCATTAAAAGCGTTTTCCTGCCTTTGCTGTTTCCTTACTACCATTAGTTTGAAATGTCCTATTCATCCAGTTCTTTCTGATACAGCCTCCTGTGGAAGATGAAAAGCATTCAGCTTATTCTATTCGGAAGTGTAAGCCAGAAATGTACTTTCTTTTTCTCCCATTGAGGTTCTCCAATATACATCTCATAGAGTCGTTCCTGATGACCGGGACTTCACAAGTTTTTCTGGTTTTAGAAGTCAAACAGAACATCAGCTGTGTAATCTGGAGATAACTGCGCTGATTTGTCCCCTGTGTTTACACACTGACCTGCCTGAACCAACTGAGGATTATTTCCTAATTACATTAGGACACCGCATCATCTTCACATAATGGCCACTAAGACAAAAAGCAGGCAGCAAAATAAATCACTAATTATGAATCAGCTCCTACTGAGAAATCTCACATCGGTGTCGGTCAGTCAGGGAACCAGAGGTAACATTAAAACCCACTGACACCAGATGTATGAGATCTTGCTGCACGGGATCCCCAGGATTTGAAGCTACCTCATTCTTCATCTTGCTTCACTTCCAGTTTGTGACTCCCTTGCTTAATGCCTTGCCTCATATTGCTAATCGTGTGTCTAGATTCACTCACTCAGCTTTTAAGATCAGTAGCAACTACAGTATCTTAGTCACTGATATTCTGGCATTATCTAGAGTATTTTTTTTTAAACTCACTTTTGATGGCCAAAACCCAATCAATCCCACAAAATAGCTGCAATTACAGACACACACACACCAAAAAGCTGAGATCTAAGTGGGGAGACTGCCTTTGAAGTGGAGCTTCTTAGAAATTACACAGGAAGCTGTAACAGACACTCCTTCTCAGCTAACAGTTTATGCCAAGCCTTGTATAAAGGCACCCTAAGGAAATAAATATTTTAAATGAAGTCTGAGTTCTAGTATGTTAAATAGTTATTATGAAATTCCTCTGCTTGCTGTCCTCCAAAAACCAGCTACAGAAGAAATGCAAAACAGCTCAAAATGCAAATGAATTATTTGTTTAAAGACTCCAACCCACAAAAGCAGCAAAGGAGGAGAAATTGTACAAATTCTCGTTTAGCCAACAGCTCTGTACAGAATTCTCAGGGACTACACATCTCAAAAGATTACAACCTCTTAATACATTTTACAGCTTTTAAGTCACTAGTTTTGATTCAAAGCAGAGCTTATGAGCAGCAGCTAATATCCTCATGAGGTGCTGTCTGGACTATGGCTGGAATCCTCCTCTCCTCTTCTGACAGAGGGAAGCCAACCTAATAAAAATGTCTCTCCCCTACCCACAGCATTCAACAGAGAATAAAAGGATTTGTGACCCTTCAGAGGTTCCTCTCTACTAGCCAGAAGCGGAGCAGGAGCAGAGAAGCACCCAGCTGGGGACCAGGGAGCTGAGCTCAGCTCCAGAGCTCATCTGCAAGATTAAAAGTCAGATTATACCTACAGCTGTTCTGCTTCCAGATGCAGGTAGGAGGCTCTTTTTTGGCTAAGTAGAACATCTCATTCTCCTTGCTTGTTATCATCGACTGGGATGAATAGCCAAGGAACGATGGGTAAGACTGAAGGAACGATGACACCATATCAGCATTTCTAGCACCTGCCAGGCTGCATGGAAATCTCAGCACCTCCGTCCATGAGTGATGTGTTTGTATCAGAGGCTGGGTGCAGCACAGGAGACAACAGCTTGTGCTTCTTGAATGGTGTTAGGCATCATAAACTCAGCATAAAAATCCATATTAAATTATGCCAATCTGGACTAACTGCCATGAGTGTTGTTTGCAGCAATAACTTGTCATGTCAATCCAAATGGAGAAAGCAGCATTGGAAAACAAATCTCGAGGGAAATCAGTCTCTCTCTCAGCTCCATTCATCTCTGCTCTGATTTCTTTGCTAGCCATGCATGAAGGACATTCCAAGAAACATTTCCTGCAACCTGCTATAAATGTGCAACTCAATTCTCTCCAATTTTTCTTCTCCCCTGAGTAACATTGCTTGGACAGACAGAGCAAATGAGACCAAGCTGAGAAAACTTTCAGCCCGTGGTGCCAGTGCTAGGACGGGATTTGGTCTCAGAGGCACAGTGCTGCCAGTGCAGCCACACGTGCAGGAGCTCAGACACTGGGGACGTGTGCAGAGGGTGGCTGTTGCCTGCCCGTACAAAATGTGAAATATTCATGGAGGCATCTGCAGGTTCAGCACTATCTACTTTGCTCCCATTTAAGCAACTACTCTGCTGTATTTTCAGAACACAATCTCCAGCCCTAATGAAAACTGCTGCCTAGTTGAAAATGCATATTACAGACCCCAAGTCTCAGAACTGCAGCATGGCATCTCCCTGTAGCATTTGCTAGATGATGTTTTGTCCAGCAAAGTTCAGCTTCAGCTACAAGGAGTTAAACTCCTCTGTTAGCAATCGGGAGCCTTTCTTTGGCTCTGTATCAAGTGACCTGCTTCGGTCCCGCAGCACAGAGTACAATTTTGATTTGTTCAGGAAAGCTTTCAAGTAAAGTTTTTTTAACACAAGAACCAGAAATACTCACTTTCTTAATTCAGAACATGTTATGAGGCTGCAAATTATTCAATTTAGCACCCTCATCTCCACAAGACTAAGCCCCTGGGATTGTGATCTCTTTCCCGAAAGGCTACGACTGATAGGGCTTTCTTCTATTTTCAAGCAAGATTCTGGCTGTGTCATCATATGCAGAGCCATCTTTCAACTGGTAAAACACAGAAGACTTTTTCCTGTATGTTTGACAATCGTATTTCTCCTTTTCTTTCATTTCAGCAATAAAAATATGAAATTCTAAACTGTACATGTAGTTTCTGAGGTGAAGCCCCAAAATCATAGGGTACAAACAGGGAAACAATGGTTGAAATCACACACAGAAGTTAGTTGGACTCTAGGTATTCTGTTCTTTTGATTATCGTTTTTTTTTGGTTTTTTTTTTAATTTATTTCTTTAGGATTAACCCATATATTAATTAAGTTATGTAATTCTAAGCATCCAACTATGAAACTACAGTCCAGAACCCAAGCTTGCTGTAATTTTACCTGCAGTAAGCATCACTGTGAACCCAGGAAAGGTGTACAGTGGGATCTTCATAGTCCTTATACTCTACCTAAATCTTTTCAAGGGGAAAACAATGACATTTCCTGGCTGGACACTCATCTCTAAAAGCCTTGATGTGTGTTTACCTAAAAAATATATATAGGCATTAAAAAAATCAGACAAATTTGGTCAGACTTTGCCAGCTGCATATTGAGCTGACAAAGATGGACCGTGTTCTAGCTTATAATTCAAAGTGCATAGATTGTGACAAATATTTGATTAATGGTTAAGTTTTAAAACATGATCAGGAATTTTTTAATGTAATTAAACAATTACAATCCAAATTCCCTGAAAACATTCAGCAAATGGATAGTAAGTGTGGGAAAAAGTCCAGTATTATTTGCTATTACTTATGGAAGGACTGAGGTGGCACTAATTGAGGGACCTTGCTAAACTGCTTCCAGCCACAGGGACAAGCATTTTGGGGATGCAACGTGGTACAGAATGATCTACCTGAGCTTGAGGCTCCCTCTGAGCACCCCAAATGAAGCAAAGGAGAGAGTCCTGCTCTGAACAGCCTCCTGGACGAGCAAGAAAAACATGGGTGCTTTGACACAGCCCCTCCTCTCCTGCTCCTCCTTCAACAGAAAGGGAGCCACAGAGGTCGCACTCACTAAGGTGCACCAAGCTACTGGAAAAAGCACCCAGCTTGTGTGCTGCTGACGAGCAGAGACAATGGGGCTTGGACAAGTTGGACTCAAACGGAGCTCAGATTATTGTAAACTCCCCCTCTGACAATCCCTCATTGTGGACGCTGGTGCAAAGCACCAGCAAGGAGCTGAAGGGGAAACACTAAGGGGCCCAGCTCAAGGCACGTGGCAATGACACTGCCACGCTGGGAAGAGACAGGTGTCACCCTTCGCACGTGCTGACAAGTCCCTTTTGTGTCCCTCCAGCATCCAGCACTTGCCTTTACTTACCGGACACTCGATCGACACTGTACATCCTCTCCAGCCTTTTTCTGTGCCACCCAGTCTCACCGGACTGATGCTGCTCCAGGTCAAAGGAATGATGTGAGGGAGCAGCAAGCCGGGAGCAGTTTGGGCACTCCTTGGAGCCCTGCCGGCTGCCCGGCCAGCCCTTGCAGTGCCTGCTGACGCCGTGAGAGCCGCCAGCGCTGTGCGCGTGGTGGCTGTGGTGGCATTCCTCCTGGGCAGCCCCCTTCATCACCACCAGTTCCATGCTTTCGTTCTCGTGGTCTGACAGCATCGGCCTCTCGCCGGAGATTGTGTAGACCCGTGGCTTCGGTCCCTCGCTCGGCATCTTCTCTGTCTGCTCCTCAGAGAAGCTCCTCTCAAACTTGCCATCTGAGATGACGGAGAGCCTGCGCTTGTTCTGTGCTGCCTGCTGCATCTCGGGGGAGTCCTCCTGGCCGATATAGGAGTCTGCTAACAGGTGATCTGAAACAAATTGCACACTTTACTGCTTCACACCAAAGTACCCCAGACACCGACACATTCAGGAGGCTGTTACAGGAAGGGGAAAGGAGAGAGAGAGATGGTAGGCATCCCCCGAGGAACCTTTTATGACAAATGTGTGCCCATAGCCTTGAAGGCCTCCAGAACTCACTCTGAAATGAGAGATATTCCTCACAGATATGCCCAATATTTCAAGCTTGTACGTGGCCACCATACAAGATGGGGCTAGAAGCAAATGCAGCTCTTGGTGCACAGCCTGAAATGACTTATGTGCAAAACAGCCCTTGTTCAGCTGTGTGGTCCTGTCTACTTCAAGGGTTTAGCCACACCTGGGCTGCTGAGCAGGGGAAGGGTTGCAGGACAATGGTTAGCATCATTTTCTGTAAGAAGTCACAAACGCTGAATGTTCTTTGTGCACCGATTTTGTTGTTGTTGTTGTTTTTTTGTTTTTTTTTTTAACTAAGAGGGGCAAACCACCATTTTTAATTTTTTTTTTCTATTTTTCTGCCAATTGGTTTGACATGAAAGAAATGCAAAAAGACTTCAGCTGACAGCTGCAACACAGCGTCCCACTCTCCACAGCACCCATGGTTATAGCAGGCTTCATCGTGCGTGCAGATGGCGATGGCACCGCCTGCAGAAGCTGTCCGGAAGGAAAATGCAGCCGCTCCCTTTGTAGGGTAGTGAGATCGAAAGGAGAGAGGCCCATGAGTGCAACTATCTTTGGAGCCCACACACTGGATGAAGTGCCAGGAAATCTCAGCATTTCCATGGCAATCCCATGCATGAACCCAACAGTAGCTCCCACCCACCTGCTAATCCTTTTTTCAAGTGGCTGCTAATTACCTCTTACACTTCCCTTCAGATGGGAAGCAGCTAGGGGACTGTTAAAAAGGCTCAGCAGGGAATGCATTATTCATGTGACTACTACCCCCAGAAAAAAAATAAAATCATTAGCGTCCAGCACAGACAGCAGCATTACAAACAGAAGCAGAAAGCAAACCCGAGCCTCTATTTCACCAGCTATTTAACAAACATCCTTCCATTAGCTCCTGAGCCATGATCTGGAAGGACGTGGCAACGACCTGAGCTTTGGCTACCTTTTGGCTGGCCATGGAGAGATGAGGGAGGAAGAGACAAGCTACCTCGGAACAAGCCTGCTCTCGCGTGTGCAACACGGAGCTTGCACTGCTGCCACATCATGCTTCCTATTAAATGCTCCTGTGCTGCTCTGAAAAGAGCCCTCCCAAGCTGAGGACGTACACCACCAGCTCTTGAATTTGAAGCCCAGCCTAGCCTCTCTGCTCAGGCAGGGACTGTCAGGACCGTTTAGCCTGACACAACTCGCAGCTCTGTGACTCTGCCTGAGCTGGCCAGGAGAAGGAGCCTGTAGGAGTCCTGCAGGGAGATCTGTGCCCTTGAACCTACAGCTGATGCTGTCTTTCCAGACTTCACACGAAGTCCAAAACGCATGCCTGAGGAGTCACATACCTCACTGATACTGTCCAGGTAAAAGATGAAAGGTGGGCAGTGGTCTGTTTCACCCTCAGTCCCCTGCCCAGAGGCAGCACAGACATCTGCACCTCCTCCAGGAGGAGAGCCGCAGGGACTACAAGGGCCACCACCAGAACATTTTTAAGCCCTACCATTCAAGTGGAAGAAGTTGCTCCGTCAGCTGTTGCTCAACAGCTTGGCCACTGAGTGCTGGCAGCTGCGCGATGTGGTGTCCCAGACCAAGCAGTGCAGTAAGCAGCCACGGGCTCCAAAGTAGCTCCAGTTACTTTTCACCCCTTAAGGGGCAGCAGGACACCACATTTCTCCTCCAGTGACTCAGACCCTCTCCAGTTCCACATCTAACTGTGCTCTAGAGAGGGCACATCTTGGGAAAACACCAGCATACAACTCTTCAGGGTCTGCCAATATCTGTGCTGGCTAACATTGCCAAGAACACCATTTTTAAAATTAAAAACAAAGGCCAGTTCTAGGTACTTATCTCATCTTGTCAAACTTACCAATCTGTGCAGGCATAATGACACTACAAATTTCTTAAAACACCGCAAAACACTGGCTGACAGCTGGCCCTGTCCCTCCTAAAATGGATATTTCTATGGAGGACGCACAGCATCGTGAGAGCAGACACGGGGTTATGCACTTTATACATGCACTGACAGCATCTCACCTCCCATGCTAGAAACATGTCAGGTGTTTGACTTCGAGAACTGGCCATTTCTGAGCTCTGGTATCTGACAGAAAACAGTACTGCAAACAGTCTGCAACGTGGGGCCTTTTGTTGAGGTTCTTATGCCACAGTCATCACAGGGAAAATGAAGTGCCCAGAGTATAGCAGGTCTGAAAATGCTGATGATTGCAAGTGCCGAGATCTGTTTGGGCTCCAGAAAATCTACAGATACGTAAGTGGGACATGACAGGTTTCAAGTCAGAACTTTTTACGGAAATCACGGCACTCTTACAGTTCTTGACTGGATATATTTGAGAAACTGCCTGCCTGATCTAGTCTGCAGAATGTGAGGATAACCCTTCCTTCCTACCCTACCTGTCCCCTACTCAAGGTGTTTTCACTTGTCCTTATCTAGGAGTTTTCATGGTGAAACACACCAATGTTTTCTCTGGGTCAAACAACTGGATACTTAATTATTTTCAGTTAATTTAGCACCTTCAATACCTACATGCTGGAGAAACGACTTCACGCACAGAAACAAATTCATGTGTAGAGGGAATGTGAAGCTTTATTCAACACCTCTATTAATAAAGAATTTATCTACAGAAATACGTATAAAGGAAAAAACAAAGATCTTCAAACATGCATTGTAATGAACTCTTGGCCTCCCAAAATGCACATGCACTTGCTTCAGGGAGTTCACACGTGTTCATGTGCACCAGCACATGAGATGTTACCAGGTAAAAGCAACCGATTCCCTTATCCATCCTTGCTACGACCTGGATCCAGGTGCCAGAGCACCACAACTGCTTCCACCATGGCATTTAAGGTTAATAGTTTGCTTCTGCTAGAGAGGAAGCCCAGCTGGCCCAGAAATCAATGCTGAATTAAATCAGAGGCACAGGGATGGCTAGTGAAGAGAACTGAGAAACCGTAACAGGGGACTCCAGCAATAACTGGAATTGCCTTCCAGGAGCCAGCTGCAGCAGACTGCTGCTAACACGCTCTGCCTGGTTACTGCTGCTCCGTTCCACTTCACTCGCACATTGCTCTTGCCACTGCTCCCACTGCCAGCTGCTCCCCCACGCTGCCACGCTAGCCCAGGGCACCGTGCCCTCTCCTCTCGATGGAGGCAGCCTGGGAACAACTCTGCTCTCCCGCCTGCTTTCAGCAGCAGCATGTTTGTCTCGCACAGCTGCAACACTACCTTGGAGCAGACGAATCAGGGCTCCTAAGCGGATTTCTTTTCATCCATATTTGTGCTCTGCGAGGATTTATTGTGCCTGAGATATTTAACAGCGAGATGCAGGGGTGTAAGCAGACCAACACGTTTTCCACTACTGATCACGTGTCTATTGGTAACAAACATCCACATCATATTTTCATTGCTTCCACATCCACCTGAGCTATGTCTAACAGCCTGTTCAGGGCTGGGGGCTCAACAGTCTGGTCTTGGGAGCCAACCCACCTCTCACTCCTCTTGTAATTTACTTGAATACATTTCTCACTAGCTCCTTTATGGTCTTTCTTTCTCCATCTTGCGCACAGCACTGCCCACACATATTAGAGAATATGCATGACCGCTGACATTGGTGGTGATCTGTATTGGTTAATTTGCAACACCTTAGGGAAAAAAAAAAATCCATGTTTTTGGTGCATGCAGTTCCTGATGAGTAGGCACTTAATTACTATTAGATAGTTACTGAATGCTAAAGAATGTATTGCGAGTATTTTGAGCACGTGCCCTGACCCAGGTAACTAATAAAAGGCTTTCATTTTCTTTCCCTGTCAGAGCATTTCTAGAGAAGAGGTAACATGCTGGGGTAAGCCTCAGCTGACTGATGCCTATTCACAACAGTGGAGATGCTCACTGAGCCAAACTCGTGTCTGATGCAGGCTGCCTTGTAACCTCATGGGATGAGAAGTTTATAAATCAAGGCAGAATATATCCACAAGGCACAGACAGAAGCTTAAAAAATAGCCCCAAATTTATTACTGTTTTTAGCAGCCAAACTGATGATTAAAGCACCTTAGATTTAAAACTTCAGCTCCAGCACTGGAAGCAGAGTGGCAAAGGGGAATCTAGATAAACTCCATTAAAAATGTATCTGTCATCTCAGAAAAATACAGTTCAGAGAGCCCATTCCCTCTTCCCTGCTCCACCTCAGCTAGACCTCTGCACCTGGTACTCAGCCACTGAAGATGAATAGAAAGATTTCAGATGTACACAGTATGGAATCGCAGTATAGTTTCCAGTAGGAGAAATGAGATTAACACACTTATTTTTATTATTTTTATTTTACACCAGAAGGAGCCCAGGTGATACCTTCAATGGGGGCAGATGAGCTGGTTAGAGCCTACGGCACTGCAAATAGGGTAACAGCTTTTCAACCAGCAAGGCTGAGCAGCTTCTCCTGCGGTTTCAGTTCTGATGCATCCCATATGCCTGCCACTGCCCTCGGGCCTGCTCTGACACTCTCAGGTCTTCTCCTCATGGGGCACAGAGGCGGCATTGTAGCTGCAACACAAAGCTCCCCACCGTGTCAGCTCTGTCCTTCCCAAAACTGCGAACGTACCGCATGATGTCCCAGCCAGCACAGGGACGGACGGGCAGCCGACTGCACCACACTGCAGGGCTGAACAGTCGTGGTAAAAGAAAAAACAGGAAACTTATTCCAAATATTGAAACATGATGCATGGAGATTAAGATGGAGACAACAATTATTAACAAGTCAGAAGTATTTCAGCTGCTCGGTAGCTGGTGAGCTGCTGGTTAGAGACAAGAGCAGCACGGCTGTGACAA